AACACAAGTTACTGAAAAAGCTCAGCAGTTCACACAGAGTTCTGAGGAAGGTCACCAGACCCAAAACGTTAACTCTGATTTTTTCTACACAGATGCTGCCAGACCTGCTGAACTTTACCAGCAACTTCTGTTTTTGTTCCACACTGTATTGACTCTGACTCCAGCATCTGCAGTTTTTGCTATCTCTGATTTTAATAATCTTCTTGCATTTGTACTCTGTGCCCCTTCTTGTAAAGCTCAGGATCCCACATGCCTTAATAATTAGTTTCCCAACCTGCTTGTCCCTCTGCTCCTGCACCCCCTTTGAATTTTCAGGCAATTACAATGACTTAAACAGATTCTAACTACAAATAAACAAGTTTGAACCATCAGCATGTAATTCTACTAATCAAAACTCTAACCCCTTTGCAAATTTTCAGGCAGACAGGGAAAATAATGAGTGTGACTGGTGGAGGGAAAGACTGAAAAAAAAGTCCCTGTCTGCAGGGATTGCAAAGATGACCTTTTTGCTGAATGCTATTTCTTTATCTCCTTTCTCCAGATACTTTCACTTGCTTGCAAGAGGTGATAATTGCCATTTAAAAAATGACCTTCTAATTGATAAGTCAAATTTGCAGTTTACACCTGGAAAGGGAAATAAACTACCTTCAGGGCTCTGGATGCTTTTAACTGAACAGTAAAAGCTAAAGCTCCTCTTCTACAGGCACAATGGTTTCTGTCAGTACTTTCACACCCTCAAGCTGTTCAGCGACCTGGGAGCCAAATTTCTGGCAGACAGAAAGCCTTTATCAACAACTGGCCTATGGACGAGCAACCAATCAGCTACTTGCTGTCAGCCATAGCACCATTCATACACAATCCTTGGCTCCAATTGGTCTTCAAATTAGGTTTCCACTACTGCTTGAACAAGTAACTGTGTAAAAAGTACTAAAAATGAGTGTCAGATTATTTGAGATAACAAGGTGTAGAGCTGGATGAACACAGTAGGCCAAGCAGCATCAGAGGAGCAGGAAGGCTGACATTTCGGAAGAAGGGTCTAGGCCCGAAACGTCAGCCTTCCTGCTTGGCCTGCTGTGTTCATCCAGCTCTACACCTTGTTATCTCAGATTCTCCAGCATCTGCAGTTCCTACTATCTCTGTCAGATTATTTGCTTTTTAAAAATCGAAGTAATCCTTCAACAATCCTTGTTTTCTTAAAAATTAATGTTCTCATTTCAGTCCTCGATGCAAAAATAGCAAATGTCAATTTTTACACACTTCTAGAATAATCTCTTTTCAAGCTTCTATTTGCAGCTACCCCATTATAGCCACTATCGTCAGAAATGGTTCTTTCTCCCATATCATTTCTGACATGCTTAAAGTTCTGCTCAGTTTCCTTCTCGTACTCACTTACAGACTGGGTCTTAATGCACCCGTAACATGAAATACCAAATAATTTAAGAATTTGAAGTAATAGAATTAATGGCCAGGCAATAACCATCTCCAATGAGAGATGACATTTCACCATCCCTTGAAATTCAATGATGTTACCATCACTGCATTGCCCACTACAAACATCCTGGGGGTTACTACTGACCAGAACAACCAGACTTACCATAAGAATAGAGTGGCTACTTCTCGGTGAGAGGCTAGGAATACTGTGGCAAGTAACTAGCATCCTGAGTCCCAAATGCTTGTCAGCATCGACAAGGCACCAGTCAGGAGGGTGTTTTTTAAAAAAAATACATTCACAGGATGAGGGTGTTGCTGGCCAGGCAGCATTTATTGCCCATCCCTAATTGCCCAGAGGGCAGTTCAGAGTTAACCACATTGCTGTAGGTCTGGAGTCACATGTAGGCCAGACTAGGTAAGGATGGCAGTTTCCTTCCCTAAAGGACATTAGTGTACCAGATGGGTTCTTCCTGGCAATCGGCAATGGATTCATGGTCATCATTAGATTCTTAATCCCAGATATTCATTGAATTCAAGTTCCACCATCTGCCATGGCTGGATTTGAACCTGGGTCCCCGGAACATAATCTGTGACTCTGGATTAAACAGTCCAGTGATAATACCACTAGGCCATCGCCTCCCCCTGATGGAACATTCACCACCTGCCTAGCACATTCACAAGCATTTACTCCATCCACTACTGACATTCAGTAGCAGCAGTATGTACTAGGTCTACAAGATACAATGCAGAAATTCAAAAGATCCTTAGACAGCATCTTACAAACCCATGACCACTTCCCTCTAGAAGGGCAAGGGCAGCAGAAATGTGAACACCACTACCTGCAAGTTTCCCTCCAAACAACTCATCATCCTGATAGAAATACGTCACCACTCCACTGCTGCTGGCTCAAAATCCTTTAATTCCCTCCCTAAGGGCATTGTGGGTCTACCTACATTTTATAAACTGCAGTAGGAGTCCTACAGGACAGAGACAGGCCCTTTAGCCCAAACTGGTCCATGCCGATCAAAATGTCCATCCACACTAACCCCATTTCCCTGCACTTGGCCCATTTCCTTCTAAACGTTTCCTATCCATGTACTTGTCCAAATGCCGTTTAAATGTAGTTAATGTATCCACCTCAACCACTTCCACTGGCAGCTCATTCCATATGCATAGCACCCCGTGTAAAAAAAAAAGTTGCCCCTCAGGTTCCCATGTATTCTTTCCCCTCTTAACTTAAACTGATGCTTCTAGTTCTTGATTCCCCAACCCTGGGAAAAAGACCAAGTGCATTCACCCTATCTGTACCTCTCACAATCTTATACACTTCTCTAAGATTTCCCCCCCTCAGTCACCTATACTCTAAAGAAAATAGTCTGGCTTGTCCAGCCTCTCCCCATAACTCAGTCCCGGCAACATCCTTATTCAACCAGTTCAAGGCTGCAGCTCACCACCATCTTCTCAAAGGCAACTAGGGATTGGCATTAAAATGTCAACCAGCAATATTCACATTCCATGAGAGAATACAGAAAAAAGATAAAAATTGAAAGTAGATTTTTGCCAAAAGCAAATAGAAATAAAGACTTTGCACCTTGTGGCTGAGGTACAAACTTTAAGATGCTAAAAACAAAGATTATTTGATCCTTCAAGAATTTAGAATAGAAGACAGCAGTTTCCCCAAAGTGAAAACATTCTCAAAGTTAGCTTGATAGCCAAGTGTACCATGTGTCTGCATCAAGTTCGGTTGGGAAAAAAAACTTGTCAACAAATATGACAAATTATCCCTAGATTGAAAACAATGTGTAAATTTGTCTGTATATCCTGTCTAATATTTTTAAGGTGAATTTTAATACTTCACATTTTTAATTAGATTTATTACCAAACATTTAGACCAAAATAATTTGTTATTGTCCTTTATAAATTGATTTTAATTATTCTATATTATAACCATTACTAGAATGCAATCCAGGATCAACTATTACAAAAATACGATTAAAGTTTAAACTCTATGCCTCAAGATCTACAAACAAAAAATAATTCCTTATTTAAGAATTCCATATACTGACATCAGTGAACTCAGTGAAATTATGTCTACAAGACCAAAATAGTTATTTTCTAATGTATATTTAGTAGGCCGACAACTACTGAGAGTGAGGACACTTTTTACAAGCAAGTATTAGCCAGCAATGTCAAGTTCCTATCAAAGTCATTTGTAGTTGATTTAAGACAATAAGTTAGACAGAATAAATTTATCTATCTTGCTGGGGACAAAGCTATAGCATTATGCCCTGCTGGCACCAATTCAGAAATTCCACTAATTCAACCAGAGTTTGGTTATGATCCCTTTAACTCCTTGTGAAATACCACCTAATGGACTTGGAGATGCAAGCACCTGATACACAACATAACATTTTATTACACATTCAAGATTGCACTACATTTGTTTGCACCTACATTTTAAAACAGCAATCTCATTGGATGGCCCCTTAACCCCAGTAACTGATTCAGAAAACAAAATAATTTCCTCCCTCTTACCCCAAAACATCAACTATAACAGCATTTCATTCTACACTAGCTCAGTCCTAAAGAAATGACACCTGCAATCAAATGTCAACAAAGAATACAGAAAAAAGAAAACACATACATGAAAGGACAAAAACAGGAAAAGCTGCTACAGATCAGGGTGGAATAAATTCTTCTGGATGTCTACAGGTTGAAATCAAACATGGCTAAATAGTCAAGATAATCTACCATCTCCCTTTGGTTGCTCACATAAGCAGTGGCTATCTAGGATCTGTTCAAACACAGCGGTGGAAAGGATAACCTGATTATTGACATTACCTGGTCCCACATATGTTGCATTTTGTTTCTAATAAAAGTCAGCCTTTCATTTGGAAGCAGGGGCAATTTATTTGCAGTCGAGTTCCATTAGTATCATTTGATATTGTATGGAGGTAGTGATTCATTAGAACCTGAAGTATGTGCGTAGTATTGTAGGACACCAGAGTATTCCAGAGACTTCCAGCTGTCACTGGACAGTAATATCATAAAACTAGTCAATTTTAACATTATTCAAACTCAAAGTCAGACGTAAAACAGTTAACAGATTAGAGCATTTCATGATCTGCAGAACGCAATCCTCACTGCATTATGTGGCTGAATCTTTAGAACAGCTCCCGCATTTCATTTTAGCTCATATGCTGTAATACTGCATTTAAATATTTATTCATTTAAAAATTGGTTAATTTGAAAATAAGTACATTTTTACAGGTAGTTTTATATTATGGTCAAGAATGAATGACAATTCATTTGTTTTAATTATTTAAGAATAACGATTTATAATGACAATAATCATTCAGAAGGGGTAGAGGAAAGAAAAGTGAAATAAGCCCTTAAATACAGTAACAGATCCAGTTACCCCAACTTAATGCTTTTCGATCAGAAAATGAGTTGGTTTAGGCTGGAGTTCAAATGGTTAACAAATGAACTGCTCTTGACCCAAAATATTCTCCTGCGTTTTGCTTTGCCATATAGCTTGTCATTTCCCTTCTTTATACAAATCACACAAGTTCAGTGAAATTGTTCAATTTAATGCATTTTGTAATACTGTAACTGTATTCAAGATACACGTTTAGTGTATCCTGGCATCATCCACAGTAAAGCCTACTCTCCTGATTGCACAAAGCAGAACTAACTTAAGTTTATTATGGAGTCCTCAATTTTTTTTTATTAAAGTTTGTAACAGAATATCACCACAAGGTTACAGGAATCGCAAAAGTTATTAATGCTCTTCTGCCATATCGCCATGTGGTTTTTATTGGTAGGTACTCAAGGTCCCAAACTTCATTATCCGTGGCTCTGAATTTTTTCCAGATTCTTTTTACAATAGCTACTGTATAAATTTCAACCAGTTTGGTACTTCCGTCCATTTCCCAAGCCTTCCAGCGTGATTTTCTCACTGCAAACACCACTTGTTCATTTTTCCATCTTTGTAGTCATCTGCCACACTACTGCAATGAAGTACAAAATCACCATTGCTTAATCATGACATCTTTTGATCAAAATTGTGTTTAAACAAAGTGCAGCATAATGCAATATCAATTTTTTTGGAGCACATTAACTTAAACATGAACCTGTTAATCAGGTAACTAAACAGTATAGCAACAACTGTTTTGCAAACCATGTGAATAGATGACCATTAATTTTAACACATCATTTTTACCAAAGTCATAATGTGCATTTTAGCACGAGCACAACAATGATTTGCAGTTATCAGCACCTGAACAGTGCACAATGCAATTTAAATTATGTTGATAACAATGAACTGGTTATTCATGAGAAAACAACTGCCTGGAAAAGGATCATCAGTGTATTTTCCTCCTAACCTTGAAGGCCTTTTTCAAGAGAAAGCTTAACATTACACAAGTTAAACAAAGACCATTTTTTTTTTTTTACAACCAAGTTCAACCCAATTTTTCCTTTTTAATAGCTTGTTGCATATACAGATGGCTCATCCATACACTCAACCAATGACAGCACTTTTTTTTTTTCACTTGGATATTAGAGCTTTACATTAAAGTCCAATTTTACATGCTATTAGATTTTTGTTGTTCTTGAATTAGTCTCACCAGTGCTTACAATTTCACTGTATCCAAATTTATTATTTTTTAAAAAAGACTTGTACATAGAGAGCTTAAAAAAGGGCACTGAGGGCATCGCCATTTTCAGCAGCAATGGAATATCATTGACTTTTTTATAGCCAAAATCCCAATCAAAACCAGCAGTGGTGACTACAGGCAAGACACCTCATTTTTTAAACTTAATGTTTCCACTTATATTTAGATCACATATCCCTTGAATTTGTAGAACAGCAAATAAACTTGCTATTCAATACAGAAGGCTAGAAGGTTTTCATAATATCAAAGTGCTATTTATGCATTTACAAATACACATCTGCCATTATGTAGTGTTACGTTCTGCGTCCGATAGTCTACATTTGAATACAATCATTTTTAACCTTGGCATGAACAGGAAAACTTGGAGACAATTTTTGCGAGTTACCCAACTGCTGTCTTATTTACATTAAAAATGAACTCAATGCAGAAAACCAGACTAATACTAACACTACCATGGATGTAAACACTGGAGGCGCCTGCTAGCCTAAACTACCAATGTGCTGAAATTATCCCAGAAGCCAATGATTTCCTTGCCTGAAATCAAATCAAGGAATAAGCTGTCAACGTGACATTTCCTCTCTTTTCAGGTTCCTATGGTTTGGAGATATTTATTTTCATTAACACTAGTCTCTCTCTCTCTCTCAGGCCGATGTTCCTCTGAAACTTTTGTTTTTCTTTTCCAGAGGGCTCTCATGATCAAATTCTCACTTCTCTGGTCATTTTGTCCATTCCATGTAGTAGAAGTTGAGTGGATTTTGTGGATGATGAGAACTGATTTTTTTTTTTGTTTGGAACCACTACTGGAAGGAACAACACAAGCTTTCACTACAACCAGTCACACAGTACAATGAATCAAAAGCGAACTCAATTCATTCCTGGGGCAGAACCACCAAAATTAAATGAAGCTGGCACTACTGGAGCGTTGAACTTGTATCCACCATGTTTTTCAATCATTTTGGACTCTGCAATAAAAGAGAAAGAAAAAAGAAATAAATAAGGTTCCCTGTGGAACAAGCCCTCAAGTTTTAAAATTCAATTCTAAGAAATATCATGGTTTAAAAATACTCAATTGCTCAAATTAAGAGTACTGAATTTTCAACAACTACTGAAAGTTATATTGTTCAATTAAAACAATATTTCTACATGAAAGGCCATCATTGTGGAAGTGATTTTATGGATCAAGGGTGACAAATTTAAAATCTTAAAATAAAAAGCAATATTTAAATGAGTGAAGAACCTTATTAATATAATTTGATTACATAAATACCTAGAGCAGCTCGTCTCTGATCTGCAAGAGTTCCAATGTCTTGCAACTGCTTCCTATGCTCATCAGTAAGATTACATGTTAGGGCTTGGTACCAGGTTGGATCACAGTTTTGAATAGCTGGAAAAGAAAATTCAGACTGATGACACTACTGCATACTGTGCTACTATAGCATTGATTACCAACTTTAATGTGCGCCAAGATTTATATCTTAGATGCATCAATTTAGTACAAGTCAGTATTATTTTCATTGATCTAAAGAAATAAACCAACACAATTTTAAAGTCTATAAACTTCACTATTATTCATGGTTATACTAAATTGTCAGATAAGTATTCAAAGTGGAATTTCTAAATAAATCCCAAGAGCATAGGTTACTAAAACAAAATAAATCAAATGTAGGATCATTCTGTCTTGAAGTCTCTACAATAATGAATTAACTATATGGTGTCACAAGCTGACAGATACTTTTTTTCTCCAGATTCTCAGCTGTGAATGTTTTACCAGCCTCCTGTGCACAGGGTTTAGTGGGGCACGATAGGAGGTACAGTTGTTTAAACCAGGATGTCCAAACTGTCGTCGTGGGCCAGTGATTAGTGAGGAATTTCGGGTTACTCTGTATACTGTTCAAGTTGCAGAAATTATAGCTGAGCATTTATCCAATAAGGCAACCAATACATCACAGCTATTTCCCAACTCGAGTCATATAATTAAATAATTTTGCAGCCTAGGGCTATTTGTTTAGGTTCTTAGGTTATTTATTACTTGAAAATCACAGGTTATGGCCCTAACTGAAGATTTTTGTTAAAAACACATTAAAATGCATTCTTGCACGTTTGACCTTTTAAAAACAGTGACTTGGAAGATTTAGAGATACTAGATAAACTTAAGAAAGATTTAGTAAATTATTTTCAGGTGTAACAAGAATCGCCAATTGAGGTACTACAACTAGTCTTAATATCCATAGATACTGAATGATAAAGCCAGCCAGAAGATCTGCTCCTGATTTTCCACCATTTCATACTGGACAGCGATTATGTGAATTAGTAATCAGCTCACATGGTAAATCAAACCCCATTCTTACTTTGCAGTACACTTTTGAATATCTGATATTCATCAATATTGCTGTCTTCATTATCAACAATGGTGCAGTATCCTTCAAGAGCAGTCTCCTCTGCATCATCTTCCCAGTCTTCTTCATCGCCATCTTCCCCAGCTTGCTTCGCCAACATTTCTAAATATTCTTGTCCATCTTCATCAATATCGTCTTCATCACTGCCTAATTCTGTCAAATAAAAATTGAGGTTTCTCAAACATGGGGATCAAGATTGTTCACATTTTTCCTCAACTATTTTGCTCAATGTTCAATTATACATTTGGATCAATGTAACATAACCTCCCATGACCTATAAATTAATTTGCTCATAGTACAACGAATGTGGCTCACTGATTTCATGCGCAAATCTGACTTGCTTTTAAGTTTTTTTGATGGGCGTAACGAGTGCATCTGATGGAGTCCTCTGCAAACCGAGGGTGGTAAACGACTATCCTTTCCCAGCAAATCCATTACAAAACATTAGAAATTTAGGACTGCTTTGGTCAACATCTTGGTCAAATAATTTGTTGTTATTTCACTTTGGCCTCCCCACCTTCACTATGAACAGTTACCTACAGAAAGCAAGTGATACATGCTTGTTTGCTGTTAATTGCAAGTTCATGTTTGAACATGTCTGATCCCATTCTCTATTTTGCTTTTGCTCACAATTAACTTTTAGTGAGAAATGCTCTTGTCATCAATACAAAATACTCAAAATCAACGTGATCCATGTTGCAATCAAAACTGAATGAATTTAACACACTGAAAAGGAAGATCAAACCACAATTGTTCAACAAGATGCTCAGCCCAAAAATGAGCAACTTACTTCTATAATATTGGGTTCTTTCTGTGAGATCATTTTATGTCAACTTTCCTTTAAAGAAATGCATTACCAAAACCCCTTTCCTACAGCAAGTTTAGGGAGACACTATCACTTTAATGGGGAGGCAGGGCAACTGAGCAAACTGACAGACCTTTCTTTCCAGGGACAGATGTATGAGGTGAGTTTAAAGGGAGAAGTGGAGTGAGAGTAGGAATGAATTGGAAGAGATTAATGATGCGCTTCTTCGTGGTTATGAGAACAGAAATAGAAAGGTCATGTATCTACAAATTAAAGATTTCGTAACTTACTTGTGCCTGTATGCCATTTTTCCCAAACAAAATCACTATTAAGCATAATAAAGTATCACTCATTTACTGAAGTAGTGTAGGCTGTATCCTAGCTGATTATGCAAATTGATTCGATGAGTAGCAATGAGCTATACAAGTTAGGAGATCTCAAATATCATCCCTAATCAATGCTGATTCATGAAGTCTGGAACACATCAGAACTCAGGTGTCCCAAAAGAAGGTGGAGAAATTTTAGAAATGGAAGAAAACTGATGATTGAGCACCTGTTCTAGTCACATCGTTTTAGGGAAAAGGCAAAGACTGGTTGGGATGTTTTACCACTCATGGAAAAGTAGTGTCAGAAACACAGCATGCATAAATAATAACCACTTTGTCAAGGTGCCAGGGGAAACTCAGAACCTTTGGAACCAAGCTCAGAAAGAAACATTGGAACAGGAATTTTTTTTTTTAAAAAAAAAAAAGGTTATTTGCACAAACATACTAACAGTAATACCAAAGATGTAATATCAAGCTGTAGCTATTTTTTCAGTGAAATGTTTCTCATCAGCAAGTAACATTGTCAATTTGGACAACTGTAATCACTTAACGCAAAACAGTTCTACAGCAATGAGGAGAAAAAGTAACCCAATATCAACCAGTAACTTCTGTTAATGTCTCCATGCTACAAGAGGAAGGCTTCAATTTTTCACCTGCAATCCACTGGAATGCCACTATTCAGAAAATGGTCAGACTCCACAAAACATTCTTCCACTAGAAATAAGCACAAATGCTGGGGAAACTCAGCAGATCTGGCAGCATCTGTCAAGGGAGAAACAGAATTAAATGTTCTGAGTCCTGTATGACTCTTATTCAGAACTTCAGTTCTTCTGGAGAGGGGCTACTGGACTCAAAACATTAACTCTGTTTTCACTCCGCAGACTACTGAGTTTATCTAGCATTTTGAGTTCCAGATTCCAAGCATCCACAGTATGTTGATCTCATTCTTCCATTAACATTGACTTTTATTTCTTTGAATTAAACTGTATGCTCTCAACAACAGCTGAAACGGCTAAAGCAGTATAAAATTGTACAAGCATTGGTTCCCAATCAAAACATTAGCTTTTTTTCCTCATTAATGACTTCAAAAATACATGGGAGTTGGGCTCAATTAAACAAGTCCTAGGAAAAAGGTTAACAATAACCCATCAGCATGAAATAGCCACCATTCACAATATTGTTGTTAGAATCTTTAGATCAGCCTTGTAACTCATTCTCAGGTACAATATCTAGTATTCTATTTAGATGTTAACATTCAAACTACAAATTGAATCCATAAATTGCAGTCATACCATTTTCATCATCATCTTCTCCATCCTCATCCTCATCACTGTCATTTTCATGCTCTGCACGACAAGCATAAGCTCTCTTCAATCCACCAAAGAGAAGAGTGAGAGCTGGTAGAATCTGTCCTGCAACCTGGTTCACAATTTGTGGTCTCTGTTTGAGTTCAATCAATGCACAGAGACCGAGGACACACATTTTCCGGTCATGTAAACTGGATAAAAAAGGTAGAACTTCATTAGATGTCACACAAAAATTAGTTCTTTTTGAACAGGAATGGGGAGTTGCAACTCCTTGAATAAATACATTATAGAATAGTTTAGGTTAGATGGGCTTCAGATTGGTTTCACAGGTCGGTGCAACAGAGGGCCGAAGGGCCTGTACTGCGCTGTAATGTTCGACGTTCTATGTTCAGCAAAACATTGGTTTAACCATGAAACTAATTTAATGGAGAGTCTGGATCGAAACCATAACCTCTGTATCTTTAAAACACAATAACCCATTACAAAATTAAAAAAGGAAAAAAGAGACCTAGGTAACTAATGCAAATTAATTTGTTAAAGATCAAAACTTCAACTCTCCAACTCCAATCTATTTGGTTTCCCATCACTCAGCAATTTTCCACACCTCACAAACAACACTTCCACGAGCATTGGTCTTCATTTCTCCAAACTAACCCGTAGCTATGGCCTCAATGTTGCTCCAATGGCAATTACATCAAGTCAAAGCAGTTCGTACTAGATTCATTCTAGATCACATCCTGGCTCATGGTTTTATAATTTGAGCTATGGGGCATGGGAAGGAAAATAAAACAAAACATTTCCACTCCGAATCAAACCAAATTAAGCGATACTGATTTTATACGCAAACAAAACACGGTTCTTTGCTGTGATGCCTCATTATAGCCAACAGCAACAGAATGGTGGTGAAGATGGTTCAACTTTTACCATGAAGCAATTGCTGGTGTAGAACAGGAAATGTTTTGCACCAGCACAGATCCACACCAATACTAACAGGTGACTAATGGTGGCACTGAAAAAGCCCACAGAGAACTTATAAACAAAATCGCCATAACTGCACCAAGTACCACTGATAAAAAGCACTATTCCTGTTCTGCTGTCCAATCATCTTCTTCACCCATTTTCACTGTCGCTCTACATTTTGCAAAAAGCAAATGTTGAAAACAAAAGGCTAAACAAACCGTAAATGATGAATTGAAAATATAGTCATCCAAACGTGTTGCACTTGCTCAAGTGCAAGTCTAGGCACTGTTTCTGAACTTATTCAAGCTATGTGCTTAGCTATTCATATCAACTTAGGCACAAGTATTTTTGTCTGATCCCTCAGATTTAGAGATGGGATCAACAGCTCCAAATCATAACTATCTCGTAATCTGTACGAGAAATACACCCGTTTTGACATCAGGTTTGGTTGCAACCTTTCTTCCTCCTCTTTCCCCATCTAAATAAGACGAGAAACTCGACCACAGCTTGATCCCATCCTTTTTTGCAGGTTGCTTCCTTGGTTGAATGTGACAGCGTACAAACGCAATATCCATTCATAGATCATAGAATCCCTACAGTGTGGAAAAAGGCCCTTCGGCCCAACAAGCCCACACTGACCCTTAGAAAATCCCACCAAGACCCGCCCCTCTATAACCCACCTCACCTACACATCCTTGAACACTACAGGTAATTTAGCATGGCCAACCCACCTAACCTGTACATCTTTGGACTGTGGGAGGAAACCCTCGCAGACATGGGGAGAATATGCAAACTCCACACAGAGTCACCCGAGGGTGGAATTGAACCTGGGTCCCTGGCGCTGTGAGGCAGCAGTGCTAACCACTGAGCCACTGTGCTGCCCCAATTCAAACTTGAATTAATTATGAAACCCTCAGTTTTAAAAAACCAATGCTCAGATTACCTATTTTCAATTCTGGAATACCCTCAGCACTGCTGAACCATTCATACACAATACTGTAATCTACATGAGACTTTGGCAACATTCACTTGACCTCTCTATAGGCGAACTCTGGGTCATCAAGAAGGCTAACACTTACATCCTTCAAGCCCTGGTTAGCCATACTCCAGATACACTTGTAGTCAAGAAGCCATATATTAATGCGATGAACAATTCCCTCAATTTGACATTTTCCCACTTTTGAAAACTCCCCTGATGTCTTGCACCCTGCGCTGTTTGGATTTTGAACCATTGCATGTCTTCAACATGCCAACTCTCAGCAGAACAACCAATATCACTATTTCTATCTTTTGAACATCCTATTGCTGGCCAACATCCTCCCCATACTACCTTGCTACTTTCCTTCTAGTTTCAAAAGCTGAAGATTGGATCAACTTCCTGGTTCCCACTTGTTACCTGATCAGTCCCTTGGCAGTCTGGAAATTAGTGCTGTGGATAAGCTCATTTCAAGGAGGAAAGAAAAATACAAATTAATTCAAAATGCTACAAGATCTATTTTCTACCAATTTGCAGACCATTTAATAGGTGATCCCAAGACATCTCATTTGAGGAAGACTTCCAATACCACAATCATAACCTATACTCTACCTATGCCCCATCCACTATTCAACTCAATAGTACGCACAAGCCATGCAGCAAATCCTTTCAGACAGCAGTGCTTTCCCCAAATGCTCTGGCAAAAACAAATCTAATGTTCTAATCCACTGCTAACAAAAGTTACACATAAGCAATCAGATCTCAAACACCAAACTAGTGTGCAATATTTCAACCTCAGAACATAAATTGGATACTCAGAAACAAAACAGTATGGAGCTGGAGGAACACAGCAGGCTAGGCAGCATTCCTCTGATGCTGTCTGGCCTGCAGTGTTCCTCCAGCTCTATACTGTTATCTCTGACTCCAGCATCTGCAGTTCTTGCTATCTCTGATAAATTGGATACTCATTCTGTTCCCTCTAAATTTTGTGCTACAGCAATCCTTACCCTAAAAAGCAGTCTACATCATTCAGCCACTGGTTAACAAACTGGGTGGTGATTGGCTCAGTGTTGTTGGGAAAGTGGAGATTTTCCAAGGTATTCAGCAATAGAATTGGATTATAGTATAAAGCAGCAATGGCAACTTGCAGACACATAGTTCTTAGTTCACTGGTCTTGACTTCTCTGGTCAGCCTCTCAAGTGCTGCTTCCACAAACAGAGGTATACACTGTGTGAGGGGGAAGAAGAAAAATACATTGCAAACAACAAGGTGAAACACATTTAAGAAGGAACAAAATTTAAGAGAACATCTTCTAACTTATCAAGATATCAATCCAGCAAGTTATCAGATCAGTAAAGTTTGTAAACATGGTGTAAACTACCCATGTTTAGTGTTGAGTGAGTTAACTAATTTTTTGCGTAAACATCTAAAATATCTTATGACATACCCTTTTTGTTGACTACTTACAGTCAAACTTGTGGACAAGTTTTTTTTTGTTTAAAATCATTCCAATACTACCTGACCAGTTTATCTAAAGAGGCAAAATACATTGTGCCCAAGCGGTCACTCTTTGTAGGAGCAGAGTATTAGGAAATACACACTAGGGATGACTATAGGCAAGCTCAGTCATGTTTTCATTCAACACATCTGTCTCTCCAGTCATGTACATTAGCAATGAAAGATAACCAAAACTGCCCAAAATCATCAACTCATTACACAAAACTAATCTGGGCTTTAATTTTTCACCTGTATTATCAAGAAACTAAACAATTGTGGAATTGGAAAAAAATTCAAAGTGGCTGAGAGGCAGTTGTCACCATTTGCATTTGCTTTTTAAATTAAAAACAAACTGCTGTACAAAAATAACTTAGAAAAGGCTAATTTTCAAAGTTCTATTGGTCAAAAGGTTATTGAAGTAAAACAAAATGACTACAAGTCATATTTCCAAATAAAAATCAGATGCTGCAACATTTAAAATATTAAAAGCTTTGAGTATTTTCATTTTTTGGGGGTGGGATGTCGTCAAACATTTCAAGTCAGATTTATTGAGGGGCTATCAATACTGCTATTTTCCATTGTCCTCTACTCACCTGGTCAATGCCACGCCCTTTGCACTGTAGAATGATCACTTCTAGTAATTTAGCTGCATGGCATTCTGCATCTTCTCCTGCATCTCCTGTTAACACCTAACAACAGGATTCAATTCAACTTTTCTCGATAAAATAGCACAAAAGAGGTGATATTTTCAACAATTAGAGATTCAAAATTAACAGAGTATTAGAATGGCTGCTGCACAGCAGAATGGCTGAAACTTTAAACAGTCAAAACCTAGCTTCAATTTTTGCATCTTCTACATAATATACCCCAATCTGCATACCACTCCTGAGCAGTCTGGTGCAGTCAAGCAACATGTTCCAGGAAGTTGACAGTTTTTTTAAAATCATGAGTAGCTCAAGTACAAAATGGGAGGCTTTTCCCCATAAAATGCCTCAATGCGATCTTTACTTCATTGCAGGGATAGAACTGGGAACTCCAACTGTGTTACTATCAATTACTCTGCTCTGTGACACAACCAGTTAGAACACCAATAAAATCAGGAGATGCTTTCTGAAGTAAAAATAATATGGGGAACTATGAAACAGCAGCTCATTTTACACACTACCAGATATTTACTTCCACGTTAATTTCCATGGAATAGAAAATCAGGCAAGACATAATTGGTCTTCTGCATTCTTAGTTTTACATTCATGCTCCACATCAAATTTCAACCCCATTATTGTTGTTAATCATGGTTTGATTACATGTGAAAGAAACATTCAGACAAATAAAGTTTAAATATGTACTACAAATTTAAAAAGAAAAAAAAAATCAGCCTTAACTGACCACGTCCTCTCACTATTCACCACTAGTGGGGCTGCAAAATCAGGCCTGTCAACATTTCCATGAAGCATCTTACCGTTTCATTACATCAGAATTTTTATATAAACAAACTGTTAGGGTTTGCAGAGGTATGTGCAGAAGAGCAGCAGTCAATTGTCTCGACTCTGTGGAATCATGCAGTAACTTGTTTCCCGCTCCAAGCTGCTCAGTCACGCGAGAGCCAACTGCATAACTGTTGCCAAGCAAGTGGTTTGTCATTGATAACTATCACTGCTCCACAGACCAATGAACTTACTATTGCCAACAAAAGCTGCATTAGTACATAATCTCTGCTCTGAACTGTCTGCAATCTTAATTTCAATTACTGGTTGTTTACAATGCCTACAATGGCTATCAGGTTACTTGCTTTTAGAACCGCAGCCTTTCAAACACTGCTTTTTAAAAGCAGGTTGTCATTTCTGTCCCTAGTTTTTAAAAACAAAAATTAAAAGAGACAGTCCTTATACAATGTACTCCAAAGAGGAGTCATGCTGGACTCAAAATGTACACTCTCTTCACAGGTGCTGCCAAACCTGTTGAGATTCTCTAGGACATTTGTTTTTATTTCAGATTTCCAGCACCAGCAGTTTTCTGTTTTTGAGTAGTTAATGCAACACTCATTTTAAAAACAGAAGACTAAATCACTTCAGGTATACAAGACATTTATCGTAGACGTTAATTAAACTCAAACATTTATGGAAGGGGAAAAAAATCAGTCATGAATCAAAAATCTCAACTACAAAGAGAAACCAGAATCTGCAAGTGAAATAACTCCAGAGACAGGTATTCCGTCACCAAGTGACCTTTTATTCACATGTGGAGAGCCCTTGACACTGATCCAATTCCCTCAGAGCCAGCTCTCAGACCATCAGGATGTCTGACACCCTGATTCTTCTGTCAGCCAAGACTCCCCGATTGGACCAGATTAACAGGCCCAAACCAGGGAACTCATTCTACAAAGTCCACCTAGCTCACCTAGTTATAACCACCGCAGCAAGCATGTTATTCAAGAAAGCCAACTGCATTGGACAAATGTCATCTATTTGGAGATAACGGATTTGGTGGGAATGAAGGCAAGGGAATCCACTGGATGCAACGTACAAAATTAAAAATAATGTAATTAGGAGAAGTTAGCAAATTGAATTGAAAAGCAAGCTTGGAGGAAGAAATGGGAGGAGCAAATGCAATTTCACAATGTTCTTAAGTGGGAAATGAAATTCAAATTTGTAGATACACTGTAACCTCTCAACTCCAGTACACACATTCAAAAATTGCAGTTTTCTGGATTTTCCAAGGCAAAAAAAAATGCACTGTAGCACTGGCCACTTGGGTCCATGCAAGAAAGTTAATACTATGACCCTTATAGCTGTTAACGATAGCTCCAATTTGTTTATTTCCAGCCATTACTAAAATGGCCTCTCTCAAGAAGTGCAGCTAAACTTCCAAATAATGGTGACAGAAGAGGTATGATTTCACAAAGTTTTTGATGATGGACAGAAACTTATTCCATACGCAGTCATCAGCCCTGTTACCTTCCCACCACACAAAGTAATGAGTACTTGTTGACGCAGATATGCTTTCTAACGATAAAAGCTTAACACTTAGAAAAAATGGAAAATACAGTATTTGTAAATTAAAAATTACTATCCTATAGTGCATTGTTACTGTTTCATGTTTCTAGAAATATGTATATCTGGTTCACAAACTCGGCATTCTAACTCTATTCAGAAATCCAAAACTATTGTGGTCATTTATAATGGAATCTAAAAAGGAATATTACCTTGCTGTGGAATGAGCTGTAAAATGTTATACTTTGAACAAAAGTAAACTTTTTGCTATGGAAGGACGGACAGAAGAGCTTCAATGTACATTCACAGGACATTAAACATTCTGCAGGTTCATAAAATTAAGGTTAAATAAAACTAATCAAATTCTAGAATTTAAGAGGTAGAGTACAAAAGTGGAAATGTTTGGCCTGCGTGGAACTTACAGTACTAGGGTTCACATTTTATGGACAGAGTCGGGAGTGGCCAAAGGCTGCCCAAAGAGCTCAATACTATGACAAAGAAATATATTACAGCACTTTTCATGATCTGTAAGGCGAGTACTCTGGGCCACCTCAAACTGATGGAATTATTTGACTTCAATAGTTCAAAGCATTAGCTTTCTTTTTGTTTACTTTTATTACCATCAAGACAATGGACCAATGCATTCTTAAAAATATGATTAGGAGACTTTTTGGGAGGGGGGCGGTGTGGGCAGCGGTTGAGTGGTGGTGAGAAAAGAGATGGGTGGAAAGAGAAGAGATAGGGTAACAGTACATTAATATAATGAGATTCAATCTATTGACTGACGTGCAAGGTACCATGGACTATTCACGCTGTTTAATGACTTGTTTACACTTTGTAAATGGTGTAAGCTTGAGTCTCAACTTATGACAAACTGACATACCTTTTTACACATACTGTAAATCATTTCCAAGTATTTGGTGTCAGACAGTAGCGTATCTGTGTCCACGGTTATATAATTGTGTAAGAGAGGCATCATATCTGTAATTTTAAAGTTTTGAACAATCAAATTCAGAAATTAATGAACATTCTATAGGTTTACTGAAAAGGTAAGAAAATCTTAACTGAAACTGTTCTCAATGCAGAATTTAACCAGCATCTCAAAATTAAAGGATTAACATTCTTGAATTTCGTATTTCTATTATTATCTACCTTCAAGTTAAAAGAACAGAATTCTAAAAAGTCTCAATTGCCTTTAGTCAGGAAGCTGAAAGTCGCATGTGATTCTTATTTAATCGACAAACATTCTGAATGATGTGAGCTTTGCAGTCATGAGATTTCATGAGAAACACTGGGGGAGACCATGGTCTGGTGCACCTTGGTAGCTGGAGGAATTCAAATTCATTCATAAATCCATTGGAATTTAAAAGCTGATCTTCATAACGGTGACCATGAAGCTATGTTGTATAAAACTGCCTGGTTAACTATGCTCTTTAGGAAAAGAAATTTGTCATCCTTCCGTAGTGCGGCCTACATTTGTCTCCAGAATCACAACCATATGATTGGTTTAGAATAGCCCTCTCAAATGGTCTAGTATGGTCATTCAGGTCAAGGAAAATAAGAGATGGTCAACAAGTGACCTTGACAGTAAAACCTACATACAAGGAACGAATTGAGAGATCAATATTAACACACACAATGCCCTAACAGCCAATTGTTCCACCTCTCAATTCTATGCTATTCCACAAGCATAAGTAGGATAGTGATAAATTTGCAGGATTTTACTTCAAAAAAGTTGCCAGCAAATATCCCACTTGATATGGTGGTGAGCTGGAGATGAGAAAGTGAAAAAGCACAAACACAACTGGTCTAAATTTGAAAACCAAATTTAATTCCGAATACAAAAAACATCTTCCATGTGTCAACTGACACAGATAATACCCATTTTTCTTTAAAAATCTGCTCTTCATTCCTTGCTCATTATTTTGCCCCTCACCTTTTTGAAGTTGGAGTATACTAAGGCACAATTCCATAGCTACTTGGTACTCTTCCCTAAATAAGGACGTTATGTCTTTGCAAAGACAGCAGGTTGTATGACAGCCACTCCACCTGACCCTATCCAATTACCACACACATGCACTTTTCACATGACTTCACATTTACCAGAAGTAATTACTTAACTGATTTTCTGCCAGTTTTAGCAATCAAACACCTAGTTCGACAAAGGAGCTTATGATATGAAGACCTCTGTTAAATCCAGTACAATATTCAAACACCAGTAACCTCAGGGATAAGTTTAAGCTAGTTACTTTACTTCATCCTGGTGAGACTATTGATGTTGTAAACTTCCCCGTGGCTGCAAAGCAGCCACTGAATTCCATGCTACAGGCTTCTGTAATTGAACATCATGACCAAGAATTAGCAAACAAAGCCAGGCAGGAATGACTGACAATGGGTCTATGTACTTGGAGAACTCTCAGCTATTCCAGTTTATTAGGTTCTTGTTAATTAGTTGAATACATGGTAATTACTCAGATATGCATATATATTTGCCATGCACCACAGTTTCTAAAATTTACTTTGATGTCTTGTACGCATTATAACAGGAGCTGTGCTTTTTTTCTTACCAGTGTAATAGTCAAAACCATCTTGCTGGAAGACCTCAAAAACAAGAGGCAAAAGCTGCCACATCTGTAGTGAGACTTGCTGACAAGTCAGGCTGTGCGCCAAAGACAAGATTTCCTCATAAAATTCTAAAATAAAAGAACAAGGACTCAGTAATCTACAATCACACAATATAACTGTGCTGCACTAATGCAAGAGTCATCACATACCTAGCACATGCTGCTGCAAGACAGTTCCAATAACCTGCAAACAGATCCCTTCCAGCTGCTGTGTGATCTGAAGTAGAAAGTAAAAGTATTAGCTTGTTTTGGGTAATAGATTTCGATAGGGCCAAAACTACATGACAGTGTAAACTCTGCTTTAAGGGTTAACTATATGAATAATCCAGTAGGCTAACAAATGAGATGTTTGAAAATAATCTGCCACATCAAGAACTAACCTCCTTGTGATCTTCCACAACCGTAAGGAGTGTATCAATAGTATTAAGAATTCCCATCGCAGTTACTGCCTTATCATCACTGCCCTCTTCATCTGGGCCTGTCTGTATGACTTGGTTAAAGGTCATTGCCTACATTAAAACAAAAACTCTAATCTTAGTCCAAGCCTCTCTAAACCAGCTTAAGGAACTGTTTGCTTTTAGTTCAGTTTTATTACAGTTGAAATAAGCAATGGTTCAATTGCACAGAACAAAACTGAGTTGAATAAGCAGTATTGCAAATGGGAGGCAATATACAGAAGTAGAGGTCTCTGGAATTAAGTGGTTATCGAGGACAATATTATTTCATCTGCAAGCTTACGTAAAACAACAAACAAACTGCTTACCAAATGCTGAGTCATCTCCACTGCAATAGGGGTCACCTCTTCACTATATTCACAAATCATTTTCTGAATCACATTAGTTAAATCGTCATTCTCAGTCTCTCTTACGATGTGCAGCAAAGCCTGCATTACAGGTCTAATAAAAGGCTTGATGTACTCCTTGGCTACAGAAAGAAAAAAATATGTAGTTGTTTTTCTTAGAATTGCTTATCACACTGAGGTTAAAGGCTTGAGAACAAATAATAGTCAAATCCTAAGTTCTCTCGATGCTAGACACACTTGCAACTGACGAACAGAAAGGTAGGCAAACTGATTTTAAATGCTTAAATAACACAGTAGGATAATGCAGCTAATAAAAATAACGACTCAAATTACTTTCTCCAAGCAGGAGATAACCTCTCTGAAAGCCCCAATATTCTGCATCAATAAAATGTCTGGCTATCTGCATGATTGAAACTATACAATTTAGGAAAATTCTGTCACAATGAACCAAGGTTAGACATTTCACTCCAAATGCTTTGAAGTAATTTTAAACCAAGCTGCACAGCAAAAATGTCGGTTCTGGTCAACAGCTTGCTTTACATATTGTCTGATTTACTGTCCATTGAAGTCTGTTTCCTATCTGGCAGGTTAGATCCTTTTCTTCTTTAAGAAGGAAGGGAGAATGAAGACAAAGTTGCATTTTTATAGCATCTTCTGAATATCTCAAAGTTCATTTCAGGAAATTTGATTGTTGCAAAGGTCCATGAACAAAAAAAGGTGGTAAACAACCAGCTCAACTGTTGAAGGACAAGTGTAAAATTCTAAGCAGAAAATTTGTACTAGAGCTAACAAAACGAACATTTCTAGCATAGTAATAAACATCAATGTGGTTTTGAGTTCGAGATAGAGATATTTACAACCACAATTTTAAAATGATCTTGAATAAATATTCACAACATTTCATCTGATCTTAGCCCCTTCAAAGTCAAAGGCAGATGTCACAGTCAATACTGAAGCAAAGTTCTGAATTGGATTTTATTACCTTTCTCCTGGTTGCTAATGAGGACCTGAAGAGCTATAGCAGCCTCCACTTTGACAGGCATTTCTTTATCTTCAATTAGGCACCTCCTGGTCAGCTCCAGCGCAGTCTGCAGATTTTGGTCATTCTTAAACTTAACCTCACAGAAATAATGAAGGACCCAACAAGCCTAAAAAGGTAAGTTTAAAAAGATCAAATGTTACAGCGCCCACACTTTTATTATCCGTGATTCGGGTGGCCAGCCACTTATATTGGGCAACTAATATTCACTACTTACATTAAAAAAGGCGAGGCCATATTAGACAAAATGGCTGTCAGAATGATTCAACAGTTAAAATCTTGTTAAAACCGCAATTAAATCAGGACTATGTTGTCACATTATACAATCATAACAGTTACTATGTAGGGGACAGTAACTTGGCCCATCATGTCAGCACTAGTTTTCTGCAGAAGGCTAGTGACATTCCCAGATCTCTTCTGACCTTGCAAATTTATTCTCTTCAGATTATTAATCGGTTCCCTTTTCAGCAATGATTGAATTTAGCTGCACTAAATTTCCAGGCAATGCACACCAGATTCAAACCATTTGTTATATAAAAAGATAAGTCGTTTTGTTGCCATTGGATCTTTTGCTATTCACCTTAAATCATTTTCCTTAGATTCTCAATCCTTCCATCAATAAGCAAAATAAAAAATTCTATCTAGAGCCTAGACTCCTCAATTTTTCCTCCATCAAATCACTTGTCATCCTCCGAAACATTCTCAAGACTTTTCTGTATCTTCTCTTACATCTGCATATCCTTCAGAAGGTTATGCTCAGATTGGACACAATATTTAATTGGAGGCCAAGCTAGCAAAAGGTTCACTATAACTTTCTTGCTTTCAAATTCTGTGTCTCTAAGGTCAGAGTTACCTTCCATGGTAAAAACAGATGCCAGATAGCATTCATTGCCTCAGCAAAGACCTATGCTTCAATCAGTAGGGCTCCTTTTAACTCCTTACCCAGCCCTACTCCCTTTTTAACCCCTTGCTTTACTATTTTTATCCCAAAACTATTGGATTTCTTTGTGTGTCAATATCTTCTCATACCAAGCTTCCAATTTCCTTTCGCTCTTTGAACCAGATATTCAACCCGATTCTCACCCGTATTATCAAGCTGGCATTTGTCACACATCCTGTTTTATCATATTTTCGATTTTTTGTCATTCAGTGAGCTCTGACTTCTGTTGTGCAAACTCTTCTTGTGAAAATATACCTGGACTGTATTTCTTCTTAAAAATCCATTGTTCATAGTTTTACTTGTCTATCTTTAATTCCAATTTACCAGCATCAAAATGTCGTCAACCCACTAAAATTGGTTCCTCTACTTTCATTTCAGATTGCTCAGTGTCTTTTTCCATGGTTAATTTAAGCGTTATGATGCCTTGATCATTTTTCCAAATATGGCCTAACACTTGACGTACCGCATTCACCAGAATCTAATCTCACTGAGCTTGAAACATTATCTTGCTGCTCTTTTCACTATTACAAATATTCCCCAAACATGCTTTCTAGAAAGTCTGAGCTTTACTTAACATTCCTAACCTACACTGAGCCGTTATGCACCACCACAATCTTGTGTTCTTTGCCTATCAAGACAGCCAACTAATGCACAGTTCACACAATGTTTAATTCTAAAAATCAGTTAAAAACTAGCAAATGATTTACAATCTGAGAAACTCTGGGGTGCAAAACGGGTAGAATTGATTGGTCTGCCTTGTCCTGGTGCCACGGGACTCATGGCTTATCCCTTCCTGGTACAATGTGCACACTGGGTGGCACAGTGGCTCAGTACTGCTTCACAACACCAGGGATTGGGTTCAATTCCACCCTCTGTGCAGAGTATGCACATTCCCCGTGGATTAGCCGTGGGAAATGCAGGGTTACAGGGATAGGGATTAGGGTGGGGGGTTTGGGTGAAATGCTCTTCCAAGGGGCAGTGTTGACTCGATGGACCAAATGGCGTCTTCTACACTGTAGGGATTCAATTCCATTTATTACTCTCCAAAATTCCAGGATCCCATTCCTTTTCCAACTAGAGGAAAGAATCTTCCCCAACACACTATCCAGGTTCTTCAAAAACTACAGGTCTGCTCAATTGCAAGACCCCTACTTTCAATGCTTTAAAAAACTCAGCATTCTCCCCAACAGTAAACACAGCTACATTTTGCCAAGTGTAAACAGAGAAAAGAGAATCAAGGTCACTATAACTCTTTACAGAAAAATGACAAGCACAGATTCATCCCCCAAATATTTGTAAACTGTACTGAATTACTTCAGACTCTCTGGGAGTGATTGTTGAGGCAAGGTAGTGGTGATGGCAAAGTACAAACCTCAAAACATCCGTTGGAATTTACATTCAATTAATTTTTAAACTGGAATAAAGCTAATCTCTATTCTCGTGCCATGAAACTACCAACTGTCACAGAAACCTAGTTGGTTCACTAATGCCCTTTCTGGAAAGAACCCTGCCATCCTTGTCTGGTCTAGCCTACATGCAACTCCATGCACACAACAATGTGATTAACTGCCTTCTGAAACGAGCTAGCAAGCCATCAAATTCAAGAGCAATTAAGATTGGGTAACCAATACTGGTTTTGCCAGCAACAATCATGTCTCATTTGAAAAAATGAAGTACTAATTCTCATAATAGAATTGTACTATTAGTTTGCTACTGCCTCAGTCTGTTCTCACCAGAGCAATTTGATGGCATACAACACTGAAGCAACAGGAGGCAGATTAAACCTATGCTGAACCAACTACAAAGGGGTGAAATGGGGAATTTGAGTACACCTACTCACCCTTGCTCTCATGTAGCCCAGCTCACTGCTGAATAGTGGGAAGACATGGTTTTGCAACATAAATTCCATCTGATCCTTGTAGATTTTTTTCTGTTACAAAAAAACATACATAACTGGATTAGACATTTTTTATAGATTAACAGTGTACAAATGTCAAAGCAAGAAATAATCTAACTTGTGTGTTGCCTCTTCAACGGTCACTTTTTTAAAAATTCATTCACACTATGCAGGGGTAATCAATTAGGCCAGCAATAATTGCCAGAGGTTGGAATAGTAAGCTGCTTTCTTGAATCACTGCAGTCCATGTGGTGTATGCACATCCAGTCTTGTTATGAAGGGAATTCCAGAATTTTTACCCAGCAGTGGTGGCCCCATACATTTGTCAATTTCCTCCTAGGTGGGTAGAAATCAGGGCTTGAAAGGTATGAAGGAGCCTTGCAAAAGTTGTTGCAGCTCATATTATAGATAGTAACATATTGCTGCCATTCTGTATCAGTGGTTGTAGTTGCAAACATTGAGGGTAAGAGATGGGGTGCCAATCAGCCAATTGCTTTGTCTTGGATGGTCTCAAGCTTGTATTGTTGGAGCTGCACTCATTCAAGCAAAATGGAGAACATACCATTGCACTCCTGACTTGAAAGACAGGCTTTGAGGTGTCACAAGAGCTCCTTACTGCAGAACTCCCAGCCTCTGACTTACTATTCTATGGATACACCATTTATATGTCTAGTCCAGTGCAGCTTCAATGGTAACCCTACAATGTTGATAGTGGGGGTTTCAGGAGTGGAATGCCACTAAACAACATGGGACAATGGTTAGATTCTCTTTTGTTAGAGATGTTATTGTCTGATACTTGTGTGATGGAAATGTTCCTTGCCACTTAATCCAAGTTTGAAAGTTGTCTAGGTCTTGCTCCGTTTGGACATTGATTGCTTTAGGGCTGGGAAAAGTCTGATCATTAGCAATCATCAGCATCTAATCTTATGCTAGAGGGAAAATAATTGAAATAACTGAAGATGTTTTGTAGAGGACACTATCCTGAGATTCTCCTGCAGAGATGTGAACCACAATCATTTTCCTTTGCGCTAGGTAGGATTCCAAGCAGATTCCCCCACCCCAAATCATTTGTTCTTTGTTATCCACCAAATGCAATTCCACTCTGGGGTTCTTCAGTTCCAAGGGGCCATAAGATAGCTGTACCCATCCAAATACACAAACATTTACATTCCCACTTCCTTCCCAGAGAAAATTGATTGAGTTAATTTGTTCTACGAACACAAGGAGCAGGGGTACAAAACTACACTGCTACAAAGTTCAGAGTTACAACACAGTGCAAAACAACTTAATTTCTAATGTCGAGCGATGAAGTCCACACATCAGAGACAAGATAGTAGTGTTCAGGGATGTACAGAGTAGATGGGTTATTGGGGAATGGGTCTGGGTGGGATGCTCTAAGGGTCGGTGTGGACTTGTTGGGCTGAAGGGCCTGTTTCCACACTGTACGGATTCTATGATTCTATGCTAGCACATTGCAACTATATACAACCTTAATAAGACTACATACATTCTCCACTAGGTGGAGCAGAACTGTGGATGTACAGAACAGCAGTGCAGCACAATGTCACCGCTCAACAGCTGCCCACCACAAGAATGGCACTGCTGGCAACAAAACAGACAGAATGATGGACCAACTGACACTGTTGCTCGTGTCCAACCCACAGCTGAATGGGCATGAAGAGACTGGAAGAAGCACAAGAGAAAATTGCAGAGAAAGCAAGAAGGATTCATTCAAAAGTGAACTAAATAAAGGTGGGGGGTTTGTGCGCATGCTGACACAGAATCCACACAGTGCAAAAAGAGGCCATTTGAGTCTACACCAACCCTTTGAAGAGCAACCCACTCATACACAACCCTGCATTAACCATGGCTAATTGACATACCCTACAGGGGCAATTTAACATGGCCAATCCAATTAACCTGCACATCTTTAGACTACAGGAGGAAACTGGAGCACCCACATAGTCATACAGACATGACGAAGACATGCAAACTCCACACAAACAGACAGTCACCCTAGGCTGGAATCGAACCTGGGTTTCTGGTGCTGAGAGTCACAAGTACTGACCATTGAGCCGCCATGCCACCCTGAGATCTAACAGTTTGATAGAGAAGCTACATTAAATAAAGCAAATCAGATGGACAAAGCTGTATGAAATGAATAGGTTGAAGTATAAATACAACTTTTTGTATTTTTTTTTAATATGAAGAGAGTGGCATATGGTTTTGACAAATTATTTTAAGGCTAAAAAACTTATTGGGCCTCAGTTAGGTGGATGCTCAACTGCCAGGAGGAATCTCAACTGACCTTTTCAGGCAGTGGTAGCGCTCCCTGGATTCAAAATCCTCCAGTGTAAACCAGTATTGTGGAAACAGATCTGTTAACTCAGCTCCGTGGTTTTTAATGGGACATGGAGACTTGATTAGCAGCATAACAGCTTGGACATGAAAAGTACTGCAACAACACATTCCTGCAGGAGGGAGGGTATGCCTAGTGATTAATGGCACAGTTCTATGGTCTGAAGATCACATTATGTCCTAGGGAACTGGCTAATTGAATGGGTATCAGTATTCGAGTGGGTGGAAGCACAGGACACTACGTGTGGAATGCAATGACACCTGCAGTGCTTGCATGGATGTATCCTGAAGTCAGTCATGGTGAAATGATTGTCACCTGCCCCATCCACAGTTGTGAAGTGCCCATTCTATCAACCATTTTGGCATTCAGAGTAACCAATCTAAGATAATCACCTTTAACAAGACTTCTGCTAGGGAGCCAATCATATGCAAAGCTCCATCTTTCTTCCGTGGATCAACAGTTGGTTCTGTGAGTATCTGGTAGCAGAAACCCATCGTTTTTTGCAACACCTGAATAAAAGAATCATTAAGAGGATTAACATAAGCATTTGTTTTTGTGCAGAACATCACAACACAAATATGAAGTAGAAAAGGGGAAAAATACTTCTATCTTTGAAGGCAGAAGTGTGCTAAGTGGGAAACAAATTAGGAAACAAGACTGAAACAGATGCTTCAAGGGAAAGGATTGCTGAAGACACAACCTCTGCCTGGAGATATGTTTGCAACAATTTTCACACCTGTAGCTAGGCCATCGTTAATATAATAGACCAACAGTTCATAACACTTACAAGTTGGTCAGAAATTCAATGACTGGATCACCGAGTCCCAGCATACAATTCTATCTTAGCATTACCTGATGGTCCATGCTGCGTTACACAAACACACAAGATTCTCAGGTGACGTTACAGGATAGATGCAGAGAAGTTGCTACCCCTTATGGAAGTCTAGGACCAGATGGCATGATCTCAGAATAAGGGAAAGATTGGCTCTGATTGCAAGACGGGGTTGGAGTACAAGGATAGAGAAATCTTACTGCAACTTTACATGGTGTTGGTGAGACAAAATCTGGAGTACTGAGAGCAGTTTGGAGGCAGTTCAGAGGAGACTCGAGGATGATCCCCAATATGGAGAGATTCTCTTTTGAGCAAAGATTAAACAAGTTGAGATGCTACTCACTGGAGTTTAGAACGAGAGGTGAACTCATTGAAACACAGGATTCTTAAGGGGCTTGACAGAATAAATGCTGAGAGGATGCTTTCCCTCATGGGAGAGTCTAGGACCAGAGGGCATAGTCTCAGAATAAAAGGGTGCCAATTTGTGACTGAGATAAGCAGCAATTTCTTCTGAGGGTTGAACGTCTTTGGAACTTCTTGTCACAGACAGCTGTGGGGGCAAAGTCCTTGTATACATTTAAAAATGGATAGATTTTTGATCAGTTGAGGGAAAGCAGACCTGAGGAATGTTGGACCAGTCACAATCATACCGAATGGTGGATAGGCTCAAGGGGCCAAAAGGCCTACTCCTGTTCCCATTTCTTATGATCTTATGAATCAGAACATTTAAGACAAAATGAGGAATTTCTTCTCAGGATATTGAATCTATATAATTCTTTACTGCAGGGTGAAGTGGAGAGTGAGTTAAGCATATTCAAGGCAGAGATAAGACACGATCTTTAATGATTAAGGAAATCAAAGGATACGGGAAAAAGGCAGTCAAATGGAATTGAGGATTATCAGATTGGCTATGATCTCATTGAATGGTGGAGCAGATGAATGGGCTGCATGGCCTACTCCTGCTCCTATGCCATATGTTCTTGTAATTCTAGAAGATTATATAATAAGCGGCAATTCAACAGATGCATTGGCTCTTCACTAAACTGATCAATTTTCACCTGATTTCTGTGAACTATTCATATGCTTTTCATCTAATCTTTGCACACAATATTCAGAAGTATGTAGAGTGGCTACATCGTCTTCAGGCGAAGTGATTACTTTCCCTTGTACTGAAGCATTAAACTGTCATTTGCTACCATAAAACCCAAAAGATAAAATGAATTGCAACACCTATTGTTCTCTCAAATTTAACAAAATTAGGGTACATTTCACTTCAGTTTTTGTATCTTTTATCTGGGCAATTTTCAATCATAAAGCCTGTCGCTGAACATGAAGAATGCCTGCAAGATCAACAAAACATTTGGTGGCCAGTGTTCCCTCCAAACTGCCTGGTCTCACAGACCAAAAAGATTCCAAAACACAAATTATGACCAATGGTATCCAGCTGCAGTACTTAAACAACTTAAAAGCTACACGAAGAACCCTCAGCCATGAACTAAAGCTCTGCTTTTTAAACAGCACATTTAAAAATAGCAAGTAAACAATTAATGTTTTGTTTGAATATTTATAAATGTAAACGCTAGGAAAAAATCTCAGCTAATAGCAATATTTAAAGATCAATGAAAACTCACTTCTTTTCTTTTACTGCAGGCTGTGTACAATAATGTTTGAGCAGCTGTTGTTGGAGAGATGAAGTCTTCAAACACATCTATAGATAAAACCCAGGAATTAATTGCAATAATGATGATCAAGCCCCCAAATGCAAATGGACTTTTAGTGAGATCTAAGTCAAATTAGTTCTGATTTCCCCAGGTCAAATTATACCACAAGCTATCTTAAAAGCCACCAGATGATTGAAATGCAACCGGAATTGTAATATCCTCACAATTTGTACATCTTAGCTGTCTTTTCCAGATTTATTCAAAAATCGGCTAAGAACAGAACGTTCTGATCATAAATATATTGCCCCTCCATATCTAGTCATGAATGGCAGTTGACAATTAAACTTGTAACTGGTGGAGGTGGTTCCACAAGAATCATGAATAATGGGGAAGCCCAATAGATCAGCATAAAAGTCAACAAAGGTGTACGTGCAACACCTACATCCAGCAATACCTAGTAGATGACGGATCTCAGTCTCCTCCCAAGATTTCCAGCATTACACTTGCCAGTTTTCAGACAATTAAATTCAACACGTAATATCACGAAACAGCTTGAATGCACTCGATACTGCAAAAGCTATGGAATCTGACAGATCAGAGTAGCAGGGTAGTAAGATTTGTGGTCAAGTACGACCACACTTCTAACTAAGCTGCTCGTGTTCAGCCACAATACTGGAATCTACTCAACAGTATGGAAAATTGCACTCGTATGTCCTGTGCACAACAAGAACAAAATCTGGCCAATTTCTGTCCAATCCCTCTACCCTTCTTCATTAGCCAAATGATGAAAAGGTGCTGTCAACACTTCTCTCAAGCAGCACTTATTCAGCAGTAATCTGCTTAATGATGCTCAGCTTGGGCTCCATCCGGGCCATTTAGCTGGAGCTCACTACAGCCTCAACACGAACATAGACCAAACAGCTGAACTCCAGAGGCAAGATGAGACCTACTGTTCTTGATATCACCTCTGCACTTGCCCAAAATGGCATCAAAAACAACCCTAGCAAAATCAAGTCAACAGGAACCAGGGGTTCAAATTCTAGCACAAAGGGAAATGGCTTTGGTTATGAAATAGCTAATTATCTCCATCCCAAGATATCAGTACAGGAGTTCCTCAGGGTAGATAGTTTCTAATCAACCTGTTGATTGATGTCATTATACATCTTTTGAGCAGTTAGGACTAGAACTCAGGCATCCCATCTCCAAACATCAATACTACACAAGAATGCTGTGGTCAAGTCCAAACCATTTTCAGCTGATGCAACTGTCATCTCGTCTCAATCATAAAGGTCAGGAGTGCAGATATGTGACAATTGTACAATATTCAGGATTCCTCAAATACCGAAGGAGCTAGATCACATACAGCAAGACTTGGACAACATTCAGGTTTGGGTGAATAAATGGGAAGGAACATTTTCACTACACGTACTAGGCATTGACCACCTCAAAGAGAAAATCTAACCATCTCCTCCAAGATCAACATTGAGAGAGTTACCACTAATCAGAAACACAATTGGACCGGCTAAAGAAATATTATAGCCACAAGAGATTAGAGACTAGGAATTCTGCAGCGAATAATTCAGCTCTTGACTTCCCAAAACCTGCCCACTATCATCAAGGGTCAAGTCAGAAATGTGATGTACACTTATCAGGATGAGTGCAACTCTAACACTCAAGAAGCATCACGCCATCGAAGACAGTAGCCCGTTTGGCTGGCACCCCATTCACCAAAAAATGTATGATGGCATCAGTAAGCATCATCTACAAGATGCACTGCAGCAACTCAAACTCTCTCCGACAGCACTTTCCAAACTTGAAATCTCTACTGCCTGGAAGGGCAGCCAATGCATGGGAATACCGCATGAAAAAGTTACTCCACAAATACATCTTCCTGATTTCAAACTATACTGCTGTTCCTTCAAAAGCTGGGTAAAAACCATTTAACTCCCTCCTTAGGAGCATTATGGGTGCACCTAAATAATTTGGACTGTAATGGTCCAACAGACAACTCACCACCACTTCAAGGGCAATTAAAGATGGCTAACAAATACTGGCATAGTGTCAGCCCACATCAGTGAAAGAAAAAAAATAGAATAAACTTTGAAGTAAATTTGTGACAACAAACTTGGTCAGGAAATGCAATTCTATAGTTAACCTTGCACAGCTTCAGCTAATACTTTTAGCACTGATTGGTAACTGTAACAAAGACTGTAGTTTCATGCATTAAGTAACCTATGAAAATCTAATGAGTACACAATTCTGGGTGGGGAGCAGGGCTTATGGCGTTGGGAGAAGGATAAAATGTCAGGTTCCCCACTCCTACCCTTAAAAATTTACATCCAACAATTCCTAGTATAAATAACCTTGCAGCTAATGGGATAAGATTCATCTCAATGAGCTGAGATTGCATGAAAGCTTGCTGCTATCCGTTGTCTCTGCTCAATATGGACAGTGCTTGCTTGGATAAAATATTCAAGGACAACATGGTGCATACAGAATAACCATAGCCAGGAATTAATGCAAAAGGAGGTAGTTTGCTTAAATTATCTAAACATAACCACAGGGATTTAGTGGAAAAGTCTAAGGACAGATTTTATTTTTAAAAATACCATTTATTTTTCAATGAGGCTCCATATCTTAAGGAATGAAATAATACATGTTTGTAAATTAATACCCTCACCTATGAGCCAAAATAATATCTTACCAAACTTCATTCGAATATACTCATACGGATCCTCCTGCCAGAGCTCCTCATCTGCATCTGTGTAGCACATCAGGGGGAAGACAACATCCTGGATAATGCCCTGCAAATGTCAAATCAAACATGTTAGCATAACAATTCATTACAATAAACTCAAAAAATTCACAAATTCAACATACTTTTCTCCCAAACATTTGTTTCTAGTTGGTGTTCAATTTCAATATATTACATCTCTTTGATACCCTACCCACTTGACCATTCTTCACGTGAGCCAGACAGTGAATGTCTGTAGCCTTCCAATCTTGGATGCCATCATACTTGCTGTTCTCGCTTAACACACTGTCCATTGGGAATCACTGGATTAGTAGGAGGAACCTTAACAACTGCCCTAATTTTTCAGGCACGAAAGTCAATGGAACAGTTCCTGTTCCCCACTCCCAAACCCTGAAACTTAGCCAATTTAAAATCTCTGCCCTTGTGCATTTACAATAATTTGTGCTTAAAATGAAATGCCCCAAGCCCTTTACCCAAGCGCTGTACAAAGTATGACACCACATTACATTTGATGACATTTGGTCAGTTGACTCTAAGATTGACCAAAAAGAGGCAAAGTAGCGTCTTAGAAGGAGGTCTGTGAGGCAGATGAGCACAGGGGTGTAACAGAGTTATTTCCAGAGTCTAAGGGCTAGGTAGCTGAAGACACAGCCATCAACAGTGCAGCGAATAGGACTGAGAATGCAAAACAGGCCAGAATTATAAAAGTGCAAAAAACTTAAATGATGTGGAGCTGATAGGATTTGAACACAAATATGAAAATTTTAAAATCAAAATGCTGTTTGCCCGGGGGATGTCAGAAGGCACTGGGATAACAGGGAATGGTACCTGTTGCAAATTAAGGCAAGCAGATGCGGTTCAAGTAACTTCAAGTTTATGCAGGACAAAATTTGCAAGTCAGTATGTTGGAACATGTGTTTAGAGTTAACAAAGCACAAATTAGGGCTTCAGCAGTAGATGAGCTGTAACAGGGCCAGTTTTAACATCCATTGGCAAGTTCATCTCAGATTCAGTGTGACACCAAAGATACAACCTGATTGACTTAGTCTCAGGCTGTTGCCAAGTAGTAGTATAAAGCTGGCAGGGGAATAGAATTTGGAGCAATAACTGAAAATCTTGGCTTTAGTCTTTCTAATATTTAACTGCAGGATGCTTCTGCTAAGTCAGTACCAGATGTCAAATAACCCATCTGCTAACGTTACAGCAATGGTCAAGTCAAGCAAGGTAGTGGCAAGATATTATCAACATACATGTAAAACTAATGCTGTGCCCTTGGATGATGCCAAGGACCAGCAAACAACTGTGAATCAGTAGGGGAACTAAGGACAGAACCATGGAGCCCACCCTCAATAACAGTACAAACGCAGAGACAGAAGACACTTCATGCAATTCTCTGGTTAAAATTAGATAGATAGGAATGGATTCAGATGAGGGCAGTGCCAGCCACCTAGAATGAAAGCTAAGAGGCAATGAAGGAGGATAGCGTATAAAGGCTGCAGACAGGTCAAGAAGGGCAAGCAGGAAAAGAATATTATGTGGATATTAAACCAAAGTTTGAGTTAGTTGAATTAAATAAAAAAGCAGCCTTATGAGGACCTAAATGATTAGGATGGTCACTGCTTTTAGTATATTTTTGTGTGTTTCTGAAAGCAAGTGTTTAATTAAATGTTGTAATAACAGCAGTGGACTGAGTTGTCACAGCAACTCAAAGGCTACAGTCTGATTTAAAACCAACACAGCAAAATGAGAGGTGATAATATGGACTACATCAGTTAAACAACGTACTAATCATGCAGTTATATTGTCCAAGAATCATATGGTTGATTAGAATACAAAAGTGGCAACAGTTGAGCAAGCTAAGGTTGCGTTGGAAGTTTGCTAAGACCAAGAAATAAGCCTCTTTTCAAGGAAAACAACCAGTTTCTCACAGATTAATTGATCCAACTGGCAATGGAAAACACCACATTTGTTGGAGACTGGAGAAGTCAAAGTTTGAACACACAGCTTGTCTGAATGGAAAAAGAGTTAAAGAAAGCTTTTCTTCTCAGAATACATTTAGCCAACTCAAGAGGTTGCCTGATCAGCAGCTGGAGATCCAGATGGAGTGAGGTGATCACTTGAGGTTGTAAGCATTGCACGGGTAAGAGTTTTGCACTATTGTGTACTGCATTTTGCTTCAAGAAAGAATTCTGGATATGTTCTGTTGTTAGAGCTACGGACATCCAGTGTAAACACAAGGGACCACGAGAAGCCAGAATAAAAGCCTACAAGTGGTACAACTAGCTGAGCCACCTGGGAGATGCAGGTTCTCCCCACACTCACCCCATATTATTCACCACTTCAATGCAAAGAGTTTCACAATTATCTGATTTCCCAAGTATGAACTATATATCATTCGACTCAGGATTAACCAAAATCCATGCTGTATTCTGTGACAAAGTCTTGATGTAAAGTAGCAGTTGAATTAAAACTTTTAAAAAGTTTCCCGATTGCTTAACTGGTTAAAGTAATTGTCATCTAAGCATTCCTTAGACTTTAGTAAATGAGAGAAACTGCAACTGGGTTTCAATTTCCTACTTTTTTTTTGGGGGGGGGGGGGGGGGGGGGTGGTGGTGAAGGGGTTAGCTCTGGCATGACCAGTATGACAGAAAACAGCTTCTCATTCTAGTTTATTAGCTGACCTCCTGTGCTATATTATTTCATATCAATTGAGAAAGTATAACACAACCAATGATCTCAATGTGAGCACATAACTTGGCTCAGATATGTTGATCCTGCCAGTTTAAAAACCTGGCAGATATCAACATTCTGGTGATGTCAGATGAAGAACACGTCCATGGAAGATTTGAAACAGGTAATGGTCAAAGTAGTTCCACTGATTGTGTAGCTTAAGATTAGGTCTCCACTGATACAATCACTGAATATGAACCTGTATAAACATGATTAAAACTCCTGGAAAAATAGCATTATTAAATTAGCTGAACTACAGAATGGCAGAACTGTTAATTGAAAATCTTACTATGTTTTCAATATAAAAGCACTGCTTAGAATTTTTGCTTAAAACATGCAGCAATCAAAATTACAAGGAGCCTCACCTGGATATGAGGTTTCAGATTTTTCCAGGTGACAGCATGTGCAACCCCCTGGTTGATGTAGTTCAATGTTTGCTGCAATACTCGAGGAGCCACATATTGTTTTTCTTTGTATTGATATAAAACTTTCAAAAGCACCTATAACAAGATATAACAAGTTAAGGGCTAGCTTAGATACAAGGTAGGAGCAGAGGTAGGCCAGTCTATCCAGTCTGGTCCATCATTCAATGTCAGATCAGCCATGATCTCAAACAATTCTATTTCCTGCATTTTCCCCATGACACAATTCCCTCACTGTTTACGGAGAGAGAAAAAAAAAAAATCAGTCTATCTTGGCCCTGAACATAGTTAATAACCCAGCCTTGACAGCACTCTACGGTAAAGTATCACTACCCTCAGAACACATTCCTCTTCGTCTGTCTTAAATGGATGAGCCTTCATTCTGAGATTATATTCTCTGGTCCTATACTCTCCCAAAAATGGGAACAACACCTCCACATCTACACTGTTAAGTCCCCTAAGAAACAGGTAAATTTCAATAAGGTCACCCTTCATTCTTCTGAAATCTGATGAGTATAAGCTCAATTTGCTCAACCTCTCAAAACAGTCCTTCCCCAAACACTATATCACAGTTAATGTTCTCTGGACTGCCTCCATTGCTAGTATACCTTGCCTCAGATAAGAAGTCCAAAAACATTCGGAGTACTCCAACTGTGGTCTGACCAATGCTTGGTCTGCCTTTAGCAAAACCATCCCACTTTCACACCCCATTCCTTTTGAAATAAAAAAGGTCAATATTCCATTTTTAAAAATTTATTCACTTGTGGAATGTGGGCATTGATGATGTGCAGCATTTATTGCCTGTCCCTAGTTGCCCTTGAGAAGGTGATGAGCTGCATTCTTGAACTGCTGCAGCCTACTGTAGGCAGACCCACAAAGCCTTTAGGGAGGGAATTCCAATTCTGACCCAGCAACAGTGAAGACACAACAATATGTTTCTAAGTCTGGATAGTGAGTTGCAGGTGGTGTTAGTCCCATATATCTGATGCCCTTGCCCTTTGGTACGGAAGTAGTCATGGGGTGGAAGGCGCTACCAAAGGATCTTTGGTGAGCTTCTGCAGTGCATCTTGTAGATAGTACACAATTCTGAGCGTCAGTGGTGGAGGGTTGCAGATGTGGTACTAATCAAGCAGGATACTTTACCATGGATGGTGTCAAGCTTGAGTGTTGGTGGAGCTGCATCCATGCAGGCAATTGGGGGGGTATTCGATCACACTCGATTTGGGCCTTGTAGATGGTGCTCAGACTTTGGGGAGTCAGGTGGTGAGTTACACATGATAGTATTCCTAGCTTCTGACCTGCTCTTGATGCCACTGTGTTTATGTCTCAAGTCCAGTTGACTTTCTGGTCAGTGGTAACCCCCAGATGTTGATAGAGGGGGAATTCAGTGATGGTAACACCATTGAATGTCAATGGTGATGATTAGATTGTCTCTTATTGGAGATGGTCATATTCTGCAATTTGTATGGTATGAATGTTACTTGTCACTTGTCAGCCCAAGCCTGGAATCTGTCCAAATCTTGTTGCATTTGAACGTGGTCAGCTCAATACCTGGGAAGTCGTGAATAGTGAACATCATATCATCATATATAATATCCCCATTTTTGACCTTATGACAGGAGGGTCCTTGACGTAGCAGTTGAAGATGGTTGGACCTAGGACACTAACTCAAGGAACTCCTGCAGAGATGTTCTGGTACTAAGATGACTGACTTCTAACTACCACAAAAATCTTCCTGTGTCAGGTATGACTCCAACCTTATTCCCATTGCCTTTAGAGTTTAGCTTTTTGAGATTCATGCACTTAAAACATGTTAGGTATTGTCGTAAGTATGCAAAGATCGAAAATACATGATCTATACACAATGTAAAAGTGGTAAAGTGCTGTTTCAAAGTGTTACTACAGTCACTCATTATTCAACAAAAACGTCTTTGATGCCACATCTTAGAGAAATTGTATGGAAATTATACCATACCTGCTGGATACTGACAGCATAACCTTTGAGGAATACTTCAGCAAATTCATTGTATTCTTTGGAGACATTACCTGGACTTCCATATCTGATAGATACAAATATATTTCAGTACTCACATTGAAACATTTGAAATTTTAGTTATGTATTTTAAAGCTCCATAACTACAGCTCTTTCAAATAGGTAACTGATCAACAGACACATTCTAAGGCTATCCTGATCTTTACCCATTGACATCTCAAGAGTGATACGCATGGACACTGGGCGAGGTTAGAATTAACACAGCTCTAATGCTCAACACTACATTCAACATACAGACAACTGAGTAAAGTAATAAATGGCACCTGTGGAACAAAACTCCAGTTATGAGTAACACATGCAGAAAATGGGGAATAATAAAGTTCCTAGACTGGTGTATAAATTACACTGAAAAGCACTCGCCTTTCAAATAATCTGGCCAAGATGTGCAAAGCCCATTTTTTGCACTTCCACCAAGGGAGCTCAGGTCTATCATCTTCATCAACTTGCAGAGTTTCCTTAAAAGCAGCACAAATACAATTATAAAAATGTGAATATTTAGGAGCATATACCTGCAGTATGAGGTTTACATAACTACCATTATAGACATGGACAAAGACAATATATTGGAAATACTCTGCAAGGAACGCGCACAGGTGAAACGTAAACAGTGTGCATCAGAACCTTAAGCTAAGGAATCAGCAAATGGTCTGACATACATCAATCTGGTCATCAGTATCATTACCTTGCTTAAGTCCAGTGCCTTGACTGGGTTGTGAAATAAAGCTTTAGAATCTTAAATATCAATTAAGAACAATCTTATTTGATATGCACTGGATCACTTTCAGTGAGAAGAACAGGGTAGCAATTACTGGTTAGGAATACTTGGAAATAAAATGCATACATATTTTTAACTGCTATAAGAGGAACAAATGAGAAAAAAGGTTACATTCAAAATTGCAACATTTTACCAGTATAACACTAACTCAGAAAGCTTATCAAGAAACAGTATCATTGCAGAAACTTAATTCAGCAGTCTTCCTATTTACCTGGGAAGCAAATATTTATCATGTACTTTTAAAATGAATGCTTTATTTTCTGGCAGCATTTCAAAACTTACACCATCATCTCTCAACATCCCAATTCAACTATCTATTTAAAATAACCCTTTAACATAGAATGGCTAAAAGCACTGAATAAAATTAGCTATATTGTTCATGCCAGCTCTCTGCAGGAACTACTCAGTTAATCATCACCCCCTTATCCGCTACTTTATAATCTTTCAAACTTTGTCCCTTTCAAAGGGCTAATCTAATTCCTTTTTAAACACCACAATTGAATGTGCCTTCACTTTACAGGCAGGTACTAACAATTTGCTTTATAAAATTCAACTTTGTGCCTCTGTTGGATATTTTGCCAGTCACCTTTGAGTTGGGTCCCTTTGGATTTCAACCATCCCATCAATGGAATGAGTTTCTCACTATCTACTCTTCAAATCTCTTATGACTGAGCATTCTTGTCAAATCACGCATCCACTTTCTCTTCAAAGCTGAACCATCCAAGCTTCTCCAATCTAGTCATTTAACAGAAGTCGTTCCAAGGAGCTTCCAAATTTAAAAACTGTTTACCCGATTTGCCACATCCTTAAGGATAAAGAAACATACAACACTTCATCTTTATTCATGTTCCACTTCCCTTGAAGAAGATAACAAACTTCCAGCTCAAATATTTACGCAGTCAATACTAGAAAGGGAGAGATTAAAATTTAAAAAGGAAAACAAATAAAAAACTTACAGGAGGAACATCCCTATCGACAACTGTTTTGAGTATTTCCATCCATTCAGTAAGGTTTTGCTGGCTTATCAGCTCCAACGGTAGAGTGTACTATAGGCAGGAAACAAATTATTAAACAAAAGAACTCAAAGTCCAGCCTGATAGCATCACTTATTTCAGAGCTTGGATTTTCAACTAGTGGCACATGGGTTTGGTTTGTGTTTATTGATCAACATGTCAGTATTTCTGGAGCCATGATGGTCTTAAACCAGTACTAGACAGACAGCGAGCTGCTGACATAATGGGAATTTATTTGCATTTGGAGAATTTTCTGATTGTACAGAGTAAACACTGAAAAGCATTAGCTTGTTGTTTTTAGTTGAAAAGGATCAAGTTTATTTTTTGCTGAGGGGAAAAACATCACATGGAAAACATTTGGTTTCAGTTCACAGATGCCCTGCTGGAAGTTATACGAATGGAACAGTTTCTCAGAGTGATAGAACTGTAGAGAAAGAGGTTGCCTCAGTGGTTCCAAATCAGAACAGGAAACTCAGAAGAGGGGGCTCTGAAGCTAAGAAAATCTAAGTTCAGTAGTATGACTAATCGAGGAAATCAAGCAAGAGTTGAAAGCAACAGTTAAGTCAAGCCTAGAGGTGTAATAGAAAATGGAACTTGCACTGTTGGGAATGGTGTAATGACGTAGTGTTGGATAAATGGAATTATACTTTATTGTTGCCAAATCTTTCAACATGTGTTGTATGCAAATAGTCTGGTGTATTCTATCTATTTTCCAAAATAAGCATTAGCTTTTAGAGCAATAAAACAAACAAACAAACAAACAAACAAACAAACAAACAATCTATGGCACTGTATGCTTGTGTTTGAGTGAAGTACCAGCTCATTAGGGTGACACAGTGGCTCAGTGGTTAGCACTACTGCGTCACAGTGCCAGAGACCGGGTTCAATTTCAGCTTTGTGCAAACTCCACACAGACAGTTGCCTATTCTCCTGGTGTCTGCATGAGTTTCTTCCAGGTGCTCCGGTTTCCTCCCACAGTCCAAAGGTGTGCAGGTTAGTTGAACTGACCATGCTAATTTGCCCTGAGTGTCCAGGGATGTACAGGCTAGGTGTATTAACCATGGGACACGTGGCATTATAGGGATAGGGTAGGAGGGTGGGATGCTGGTTGGAGGGTCAGTGTCGACTCAATGGGCTGAATGCCGGTTTCCACACTAGAGATTTTAATGATTACTTAAAAACAAAACACGATGTAGCAGGCCAGATTCCAGTCTGGGATCTAACTTGCATAATAACAACACTGGCTAGGATCATAACACACTACACACTTCATTCAAAATCACAAACATCGAGCACCAGGCCATAGGACTCATCTGCCTACACTGGTCCTCTCAATGATTAATTCACTGTGCCATTCCCAGTTTTCTCTCAATAATCCTGCACACAAAGTTTTCTCAGCAATGCAAGAGTCATGCCTCCATTAGACAAAAATATATTTCAAGTGGGAGAAAAATAACCCAGACAGTGAGGTGGAAGTAGCAGCAGCTGGTTCATATTATTCCTGCTCATTAGAAATTACCAAGGTAAAATTACATTATATATCTACCTAAACATCTAGCACCAAGCAGTATATTTGCTTTCACAAAAGCTTTGAATTCTGGGGTGAATTAATCAAAGTTTTTTAATGCAGCTTCCTGATCTCATACTTAACAGCTCTACAGGCAACGTTCAGAGGTGCCTTTATTATTCAACATATTGATAAGCCTGAGCTGGGACAATGCTCAATTCAAACAAAGTCTTTATTTCCAGGAAACAGAAATGAAGATCTCCAGAACCGTGTGGTTAACCTGATATGAAGCATTGCATAATGGTTGATTACTGCAATGGCATGAATAAATACTTCAGATTTGCAAGATTCTTACAAGAATCGTGTACTTGACTTTCAGAAATAAAATGCAATGATACTAAAGTTACAGCCACTGACATATGTCCACCACAGTACAACAGCAAGATCACTGGACTTGACATTTGGCTTCAAAATCCCTGCCAAAAAAAAAGACTCTGCACTTCCTCAACATCCAACAGATATTACTCGAACATGGAAAAGGGAGCTTCCATGTAAATTAAAAGATGGCCTTGAGTTTGTTTTGGGGCAGTACACAAGTTTCTCATGCTTAGGAATAGCAAAGCACAGCCATGTTTTAAGACAATCTCACTGCATACAGAACCAGTATTGAGGTAACACTTCATTTTGCATTATAATACCTGAACAAGTGCATAGAAAATTTTGAAGATCTGCTTTTGAATTAGGACAGAGTGGTCTGAAGGATCAGAGAGAAGTTGGACAAAACGATCTTTCATCATTGGCAGAAAGTGCTGCATAGCTGCCACCAATGGGCTTCGTTCTTCTGTTTTCTTGTACCTGCATGTAAAATATGTAAAACTACCAATCAAAAATAAAGCACAACACCAGAAATATATTCCTACACTTGAACTGCACATTCTATCATTCGACACAAATCAAATCAGTTCTTCTGGGAAGACCGACTTCTTGGCCAGTCTGAAGTCACATTCTCAAAACTGCTCAAAGCACTTCACTATGCCGTGCTCTACCAAATCAGTGAAGAGGAGTACTTTGATTCAAATAGCTCCTCAATCTCAAAGATTTTATGAATGAGGAAGGTATGGGTGGAGGCAAGAAAAAAAAAAAAACCAGGAGCTATGAACATAACTTAGATTTTAAGCCATTTTTATTTGGCTTCCTTTAGGTCATATTACCCAGAAGGCAAATAGGAAAACCGTTCAGAACCAAAAATACTAAGCGCTTACTCATAGTTCTTCACCAACTGATAGAGGCAGAGGAGGATCCCAAGCCAATAGGCACTGTTATCAGACTGTAGATAGTATCCAATTTTATCAGCAACGGCTGGCCACCTGACTGGATAGTCATGTTTGATAATTTGGTGAATGCAAGTAGTGAGTTGCACCCTAAAAAAAAATTAAAAGGTATCATGATACCAGTTACTCAAAAATAAAGGCTATGACAGTTTTAAGTAAAAATATAAAAAGGATCATACATTACTGAAAATGTAATGTCTAAAACTTTAACAGTTAGAAGATGCATTCATGTGTTAAAATCTTAGTGAAGGGACAATATACAGTCTAAACAATTGTGTTTAGCTGGTGTAAGAACAGCAATATTATGATGTGCGTCCTTCCCCTTTTCCATAAAAGATTACTATTTCCTCAATTATCTGATTCAAACTAACAGTCACAATGCATGTGTAAATCTCACACTGTTGACTGACCATTCTATCATGGGTTATCATAGCTAAGCTCAATGTGCATTCAAGAAATTTACACTTCATCCAGAAGGATTATTGTAAAGTAATTAAGAGTGCATTAATTCTAAAGTGATTTAAGCCTTTTCCTTATCCAGAATCAATGACCACAATTTAACTTCTAAAAAACAACATGCATGGATCTAATGTATCGCAGACTACAGGTTAAATCCAAGACCCCTCCTTGTCTGTAAAGCTCAACTACTTGATAGAAAGATTTTCTCCTTTCCAAAGGATCAATTCAATGCATTCAAAGGGGAGAAATACTTTATTCCCCATACTGCCATTTAAAAAGGCCTACATCAAGGCAACACCCAGCGTTCTCTGTCCAAAACAGGAAGCATCAGTAATATTTGCTCAACACAAATGCTAACAGTACTGAAGATTTGTGCTCCAGAACTTGCTGGGCCTCCAGCCAAGCATTTCCATAGTACAGTTACAACTCTGGGATCCACATGACAATGTGGAAAATTGCCTAGATATGTCTTGTCCATAAAAAGGACAAATCCAACCCAGCCAATTACTGCCTCAGTCTACTCTTGATCATCAGTAAAGTGATGGGGAAGGTGTCATCAGTGCTATCAAGCAGTACCTACTCAGCAATACCTGCCAAGTGTTGCCTAGTTTGGGTTTCACCTGGGCTGACAGTGACATGTGCGCCATTCAAATGCCAGGCTACGATCATCACCAGTAAGAGGCAGTGTAACCTGTGTGCGTGCGCATGTGCTCTTGTGTAGGGTAACCAGTGACCAGAAACTCAAGTGAACTTGCCACATCAACAGTGGCTACAACAGCAAGTCAATTACTGTGGTAACTTGCCTCCTGACTACCCAAAGCCTGTCCACCACCCACAAGGCATAAATCAGGAGTGTGATGGAATGCTCCCCACTGGCCTAAATGGGTACAGCTCCAACAACATTCAGGAAGCTTGACATCTTCCAGGATAAAGCATCCTGCTTGATAAGCACCACATCTGCAAATATTCAGGCCCTCCACCACCGCACTCAGTACATACTGCTGCTACTAATCTACAAGATGCACTGCAGAAATCCTAGGACCCTCTCATTGCACCTTCCAAACCCATGACCATTTCCAACTGGAAGAATAAAAGCAGCAGATACGTGGGAACACCACCAACTGCAAGATCCCTTCCAAGCCACTCACCATCCGGACTTGGAAATATAATCGCTGTTCCTTTACTGTCATTGTGTCAAAATCCTAGAATTCCCTCAAAGGGAATTGTGGGTCAACCTACAGCATGTAGACTGCAGCAGTTCAAGGCAACAGCTCAGCACCACCTTCTCAAAAACAACTAGGAATGGGCAATTAATGCTGCCCAGCCAACGAAGCCCACGTCTCAAGAGGGAGTAAAAATGATTAGGACAGCAAGAGCACTAAAGTACAAGGTAAGAGGACCTATAACTATTTAAACAGTAATACAGAGGCACACACTGGGAAAGGAAGCTGAGAACGAAATCTACCACACCAAAATGAGATTATAGACTATTGGTATGAATGTGGCTGCCAGCAATTAATAAAGCCAGTGTATGACTGAACACCCAAAGGAACCCCATTTTTGATCACTTGAATGCATCAATTTAACTCATCAGAACAGCAAACTGAACTAACAATGGCCTAAATGCCACAAGGAGGATCTTGAAAGTGGAGGACTCATGAAAGAGTAACTATTTTCATAAAGTACTTAAAGTAAATAAAATGCAGACCAATGAATTCAGTATCACTGATATTTCTGAAACAGAGCAAACTGAAAGACAGAGACAGATAAAACTGTTTTTAGGAAGAGGAGAAAGGTCCTGGCATTAACCAAGGAAGGAAAAAGAACACATTCAAGTTGGTCATAGCTGTTTTTGTAGATGAACCTATAGTTGTCTACAAAGCTTTAGCAAAGATTTGCAAAAGAGCTTCCAGATGTCGTCTTAGCCTAGGTGAAAAGGACTTCAGAGGCCAAAGATTATGAAATTCAAGGATCAACATCAAGCTCACATTGTCTGCAAATAAGGAAATGCTGTCTTTTGTGCGAATTCGCCATTCAGATGTTAATTTACAGAATATTTACCAGTCTTTGAAGTAGCATTTAAAAGTAAACAAATCTTTCCCACTACAAACCTTATTAACTCAGGTGACTGAATGATAGCTTCTATTATGTTGTCACGGATGAACTGTTGATCTTCTTCTGGAATAGTAAATGGTGGTACATCACCAGACGTAGCTTCACGCTCAGCCCAGTACTGCGTTATTGTATTTTTCAAGTAAATTACACCTGAGAGAGGGAATTAAATGAGAAACTTCTAAAATTTAAGGTACTTACATTGTTGGTGATTTACAATTCTGGCACTTAAATATGCAATTTGGAAACTATTTACTGATTTGAATGACTAAATATTTGCATGCACAAGACAACCTTTCAGTTTCAGTGAAAGAAAACACTTCACAAATTAAATACTTTTAAAGCAGTGACAGTTGGAATGTAGCAAATGCAGCAGCTAATTTGCACAGAACAAGGTTCCATTATAAAAGAAGGAACAGAAGGTTGATAGGATGCAATTAAGATTTAACAAGGCTCATGGGAAGCAAAAAAATTCTACCATAAACATTTTGGGCCAAATGGTGATACACACTGGTCTTAATGTTGTAAAATTCTATGCAACATTTGTGTTTAAATGCAGGTTAACTGGTAATGAGGGATAAACACTGAGGACCAAATAACCACTCCCCTTCTCTCCATTCAAAGGGGCCGAGGTATCTTTAGATCCAACTGAACGAGGAATTCAACATCTCTTTGAAGGGCAGTTCTTAATGTAGTATGCAAGTGTCAACCTAGATTAAAAAGTTAAATCTTTAGAACAGAGCTTGAACCCACAGCCTTTCGACTATGAAGAAACAGAAATACACTAATACATGAGAGACGATGTGTGCATTGTGACACAGATTTAAAAACTGAAAAGAAGCAGTTTAACTTGATTAAATAAAATACCTCTGGATAGCAATGGGCAGATGTTACTAAGCAGTGAATGAAGGTCATGAGACATTCAACATTGGAACTTGGTATTATTCGACACATATTTCTTTGGATTGCCCTGTACAGGAGATCTGGCACCTACCTGAACACCAACTCTTGGCCTCCTGAAACAATTCAGTCTTAATATTGAGTGTAGAACCAGAGGCAGGAACTGTCATTAAAATTCTATTTTTAAATCAGGTACAGAAATAAAAGAAAAACAAAGCATAACATAGGATTAAGAAAGCAAAACAAAAAGAAAACAGCTAGAATGAGACTGCAAACTCAAAGCCATTTTTAGTGTCAGGTAGTATAGTAATTAAAAATTATCACCTGCTTTAAAATCTTCTTAGAATGGAATGGACAATCCCTAATTTTTCAGGTGTGCTAAATGGGTCTATTCTAAGTAAGAACTGAACCTCCAATCCATTCTGTGGGCTTAAATACTATGTCTCCACCAGCTAACATTATCAAGAAGCCTTGACAGAGTGGGGCAACTTCCTGAATTCTGCCACTTACTATGTGTCCTGGTATTTCCTTGACAATTTACACAATAATTGTGAATGGTTTCACCATTAAAGCCCAGACCCTGCATCATGGACCTGTTTGCTCAACAGCAGGCATCAGAATTACAGATCAAACATCTAAAAGAAGTGAAGCTTCCCACACGAAATTATATTTGGCCCTTGCTAGCAGCAGCAGTAAAATAAAATATGAAGTGGCCTACACTTTCCACAAATCAATTTCAAATATTATGAATGCTTGATTTTTTTTTCAGTAATCAGCTCATTCACAACTTGCTCTAAGAATCCAAAAACACTGAACTGAGTAAATCTGTTTGTTTTTCTGATCTACATAACTCAAAATTCTTTAATTTCAACTGACAATCCTTAATCAAATACTTTAATAATCTTCGTAGAATGTTGAAATATTAATTCAAAATTCTATGCAACATCTGATCTCTCTATAGTTAAAACAAGGGGAATTGAATTTTTTTTAAAAAAACATGTAAAAACCAAAAAAGAATAATCTCGGGGACAAATACAAATACAGTCTTGAGTTAACACTTTGCAGGCCAGATAGTCTTCAAGAATAAGTTTATAGAGCTATGCCAGAACATTAAGAATGAATAGTAACCAACTTCGGCTGCGCTGAAAACAAATCTATGCCTACAAAGGTAGAAGCAAAACGTACAAGAGACTCTTTAAAACGACAGCACTGCATCCTCAAATAAAAACTGTTGCTCACGTCTATCCTGATATATCAATTCAAAAGTTGCAGGGCACAGCAAAGACTGCAGGAAAGGAAGCCGACTTTCCTCAAATTTAAACAGTTTTAAAAAAAACTGTAGACAGCTTCTGATGGGGAGAACAATTGCACATATTCGTGTCTTCCTGTGTCTGTGTCCCTGTAACTTGCTCCCAGTTCTGAGCTGCTCAGTTAGATGAGAACCAATCAGCTTCACTTGCAAACAAGTCCTCAGTTCCTGATCATCTGCACATTGCGGGAATCCACAGCCACAAAGTTAACAGTAAGAATCAAATTCCTTGCTGTGAAATTATGCAGCCATTCTGGTAAATCCACTTTCAAAACAAAAATAGTTCTTGCATTGCAGTCCTTTTTATTTTAAAAAAAGAGAGAGAAAAATGAAGAGTCCTTACAGCAGACAGAACCTACTGTGCAAATTACAGGATCATAAAACGGTTACAATGCAGGAGACCATTTGGTTGTCATGTGCACCCAGACTTCCGAAGGGAGCAAGTCATCTAATGTCATTCTGCAGCCTACTCCCATGCGATCTGAACACATTGCCAAGATAATTGATCAGAAATCCACAAGTACTGAAATCAGTTCCACTAGCCTAGATTTTGTGGTCAGCAGGGAAGTAACAGTGCTTGTTGCCAACCTTGGAAGATGGCTGCCCAAATGATCGGAATCTCTGGTAAAGGAGAACTCTGTCATAAAGCTTGTTTAAATCTGATGCAAAGTCAGAGATTGCCAACTGTACAGCAAGTGATGCCATCAAACTGACTAAACACAATGAGGTATTTACAAACAGAAAACCAAAAGGTTAAAGGCAAGTAACATTTTTCAGATACGAATATAAATGATAATATTAAAAATATCTTAGCAAAATTTGAAATTCAATAAATAAAGCCAGTTTTTCAGGAACAGTAAGCATATTAGCAATAACTGTGAAGTTTACACTCCATTAAAATTCCTGTTATACCTCATTTGACAAGGCACAACTTTTTCAATGCTTTATTTTAGAGGGAGTGCTAGCAGCACAAGAGAATCCAATCAATTCATTTCCCACTGGTTACGGTCTAGGGGTGCCTCAATCATTACCAACTACAGAATGATTTTCCTCATATGTAGATGAAGGCACAAAATAAATCTTTTCCAATTGCTTTTCTTGAGATTTGAGCACTTCCCCCCCCCACTTTCAGAGGATTATCTTTCTATTCTCACTAATTCATAAATTAGTTGATGCAATCATAGAGCAATAATATCTTCTATGGTGTATTTGGACTTGTGCAGGAGCAGTATTAGACAAATGCATCAATATCCTCAATCATCAGCTGTGTATTAAAAGAGTCACAAGAAAGCATTAATTTTTGTTTTACAAAACCACAGTACTTAAACTGGTACAACACACCCACCATAAGTTGGCAACAAAAACTTTCAAAATAACTGACATTCCTACATACAAAAAACATCTTAAACCCACTTTCCGCAGAGGTAATGCACACCCATCACATATGCACAAAGCTGGAAAAATCTAACCAAGTAGTTACCTTTTAACTGCACCTCAGATTTAAACTCAATATTGCACTAACAGCATTGTGAAGAAGGATCCCTCTACTCAAAATGTTAACAGTTTGTTTTCTCTCCACAGATGCTGTAAGACCTGATGAGTTTCTCCAGCAATTTTTGTTTTCGTTGTATTACATTGTGCTAAATACAGAATGACCACACTCATACTGGATTCATAGGTAGTGTAGTTTCACTTTAGTTGTAGATCGCAAACAAGCTCACTTGATACATACTAATAACTTGCAGTTACAAAGCGACTATATATACACACATCCTTAGTCTAGCATGCTGCTACTTGAACTCATGATTTCTGGTCATGTGATGTTATCCTCATCCTTGATTACATGAACTAAAACTAAAAGAAAATGGTAAATTTTATTGTTACATTATTTACATAGGAAGACTTGCAAACTTAAGTTTACAGTCTGCGTAATGGATAGATGATTTGACAATCCTTCCACTTCTCCTGACAGCATAACCATCCAGGGTGTTCTTGACTCAAATGTACATTGTTTGCTTGCATGTTGTAAGAACGTTGGGTTGTCATGATCCTCCACAACTTCATTATCCAAGTGTGTCTGCATATGTTCAATGCACATTTGGGAGTACTGTACAGATAGAGTTAGTTTGTTTCTCCACTGTAAGATCTAGGCACAAATGGGATATTCTGTGGGCAGCCAGGTTCCTTAAATAGATTGTATGATTCTGATTTCTACATAAATTAAACCATTCCACACCTACATGGAGGTAATGTACCAACTTCACTCTCCCTTGTTTCTCAAACAGTTTGTCCTGTACTTTTGACAGCCTTGGCAGGTGATGATAGGGTAGGGTTATCTTGCCTTGCTTTCCAAACATTAGTCTCTCTAATGATGGCAAGCCTGTATCCAGGGGTGTAGTTCTTGGGTGTAGCACAGCAGTACAAAGAACCTGTTGTCTCCTAGCAATTCATTAGCATTTTAATATTGCAAATCATTCATTCAGCAAAACCTTAGACTAGGATAATGTGGTGAAATGGCCATGTTTTGCATCCTATTTGGCATATGTGCCTAAAAAGGTCTGCCTGTGTACTATGGCAGTTGTCACATATGACCATTTCAGGTGTCCTTACTATATTCATTGTATCTGCCACAGAGGCACTTTAAATTGTCCTTTCATATTCTGACAATTGGTAATCTGGAGAAAAATCATTGCCACGTATGGTGAATAAATCTGTTCTGACTTTCGACCAGGTGACTGATTACACATTTGAAGATGTACAGGATCTTTGTGCCATGGTTGGTGACTCTGGCACACCTTGCATGCCCTATCTACTTGATAACATTATTGATCTCTGACCAATACCATGCCAGCAATTTTGTTCACTCTCTGTCCACATGCCCTTGGTGCAGCTGTAAGAACGAGCCCTGGTGAAGGGCTTTGAATACAAGCATTACTATCTCTTCAAAAGATTATGCCTTTTGAGACACCTAGTCTGGTACTCCTTACATCAAGTCAGGCCAACCTATGATAAATTTTCATTGTGCTTTCAATAGTTGATCATTAGCCATTTCTTCCCAAAGTTGGTCACATTCGTGCTGACCAAAATTAATCAAATGACTGAAAGCATGCCATTGCCTCAAAACTGTCTCCTTGCAAGTCTAGTGAAATTTCTGCATTCTTCAGATTTGGCTATCTGCTCAGTGGGTCTGAGGTAACCATTTTGGTACCAGGTTTGTAGCAGGTGAAACTGTGCCCCTGTAGTTTGACTAGAAGTGATGAGAAGTCAATATAGTCTCAATGACACATTTCTCAGTGATTTCTACTGAATCATTTCCAATGACTTGTGTTTGATCTGTGATGAACCGTTTACTTGGCTGGCACAAATGACAGAATACAGAATGCTAGAGGAAGTGTTTGATGCTCCATATTGTGATAATTGGATTGTACTTACAAATGACTTTTACATCAAAATGCAATGGGTTTGTAATCTTGCTTGATGCACACTCCCAGCCCTACCTGCAATGCATCAACTTACAAGATGGTCTTCTTCCATGGGTTATGGTATTGTAGGATACAGGTTCTGCTGACATTTGCTTGAGTTATTCAAAAAAATTTTGATAGTTCTCAAACTACGCATAGAGCTCTCTTAACAATAACGGTTTGTTGGAAAAGTTTGGTATGCATTGTGTTCATATGTTTAAAAAAGAAGCCATCTCAGCAGATCTTTTGTCTTGTGGGGTTGTCACAATGTTTTTGGCTTTCCTTGGTTAGGACAGAAACTATAGTCTGAAAAGTTTCTGACCTACGTACACCTGACTTTTCTTGGAAGATTCCTTCATGAACATCAGGAAGTTTTAATTTTGGTCACGCTGTTTGATTTTTCCCATGACTTGAGATCAAACATGCCCAGATTGTGCCAACTTTCTTTAGCATCCATGTATAATAGAACTACATTCTGTACATGACAGAATGTTATGACATTCCATATCATCCAGCTCGCTCGCATGTGAATACTGAACTTTCAGGGAGAGTTGATTGATGGAATTGCAGAAGCCTTTGAAAATTACCACAGTATCGAATCTTTGGCTATATTTATTGTAAGCTCTGGATCAACTCACGCAAGTATTCCCTGCCTCTTCCAATATGATCAGTATTTTAGTGATGCCACGAATGATTACAATGTTGAGTTCAGCACAAGCAGATTAGCCTTGCTTTTGTTGGTCCACACATCCAAGAAAAATAATTGTGGCTCCCATGCATTTCATCGTCAGCACATCTTACTTACCCATTTCTGGCTACAGCTCATGCTTTTTGGTCCGTGCATCTTTTGGTTTTTGTTTACGAATAGCATCAGGGGTTGTCCTGACATCCCAGCAATTTCTACAGCCTATTTTGGGACAGACTTGGCACCCACATGGGCTACCAATCTGGCTAGCTCACAATTAAGTACTCACTTCGGTTTGTTTTGCTTAGGTCCCAATATATATTTATTCAATTACTGCATTGATTCTATGATCAAATATAAAGCATATAGAGATGTACAGCATGTTCTTTTTTTCCTGTGATATTCAAATTCTCATCATTACCTTCATTTTTTTTTGGACAAGCCACTTGACCACACCATATTCTTGAATTGTATTGTTATGCTCTGATCAGGAACATCGGTGATACTGGGTTGGTAGATCGTGCCAATTCAATTTACTTTAAAATCTCCAGCAGGCTTACTTAAGAGACAACTTCCAGTTAGAGAGTAACACATACTGAGTCTCACATGCTGCTACCTGCAATAGTATCATCTGGTCCTTGGATTATTAGCATACTCAGTTCTTAAAGCAAGACCACACAATTAATGGGTGTTCATTCCAAAGGAATCCATTACATTTCTCCCACCCCAG